TTATCCATGCTAATTATAATATTCTAATAATAATGTCCTCTTACAGGTCTGCAGAATCTGCATTCGAGTTTTGCTAATTATATTATTCCAACATTAATTCCCTCTTGGAGATTTTGCACTCACATTTTTACTTTCTCGTATATACGACGTATAGAGAAAGTATTGTAATCGTGCACAAAAATAACATGAAATTTTGACAGTTTTCACCGTTTTACTCCTCAGTCCTTCGTCACATCCGGAGCAAAAATTATAAATACAAATATATACACATTTAGGCGTTTTATGCGTTATCGAGTCGTAAAAGCTGGACTTTGCAATTCTGTCCGTTGTCTGTGTGTGTGTCTGTGTGTGTATAAACACGATAACTTGTGTACCGTTGCAGCTATGTTGATGAAATTTCATATATAAGTATTTTATCAAAATCGTAGATCCGTATCAACTTTTGAGCGATTTCCGATAACCGGAAGTGGTACTTTTTCTACTTTGAAGTTTTCAAAAGCCTATAACTTGAGCACTATTTCAGATAGATAAATGAAATTTCACATGTAAGTAAAAGATCTAATTCTCTACCTTCTATCAAAATGTGAGTAATTTCCATTGATTGGAAGTACTAATTTACGCTATTTCCGATTTCTCATAAAACGAATATAAATTAAAACTAATAATATTCCGCACTATTATGCACGTTTTATTTGGCGTTCACATGTGTGCAATTCTTTTTTCTACGAGATTTTATTCTATTTTAAAAAGTTTAAGTATTTAAACTGGATTAAAATTCATGTCTATATCCCGAGTTCCCATCCCCTGTTTTTTTTTATAAAAGAATATTCGAGAAAGTTTAGGGGAGATCGCTCCCGATTTATTTTATTAGCGTGAGTTGAATTTATTTGTTAATTACCTCCACCCAGAGAGAACCTTTCCAGCATTCTCTATGAGTCTAATGTCACCATCTATTTTAATAACACCGAAAAACAAAAACAAATAAACCGGTAGTGATCTCCCCTAAACTTTCTCGAATATTTTTATATAAAACAACAGGGGATGGTAACTCGGGATATAGGCCCTAGTTATGATTTTTAATCCATTTTAAATACTTAAACTTTTAAAAATAGAATAGAATCTCATTAAAAAAAAAGAATTGCGCACCAAGCGAACGCCGAATAAAGATGTGTCTTATAGTGCGGAATATTATTAGTACTTTATAAAATCACATGCGTTTTTTGAGATATCGGAAATAGCGTAAATTAGTACTTCCGGTCAACAGAAATTACTCAAAATTTAACAGAAGGTAGAGATATAAATCTTTTACTTACATGTGAAATTTGATTTATCTATCCGAAATACTACTCAAGTTATAGGCTTTTGAAAAATTCAAAGTAGTAAAAGTACCACTTCCGGTTATCGGAAATCGCTCAAAAGGGTCGGCGTGGTCGAGTCGGTAAAGCTCATGGTTGCTAAGCCGAAATGTCTCGAGTTCGAACCCTCGGGCAGATGAGGCTCGTTAGCTGGAGACAGCCACTCTTCTAGGAGAGACAACTCCAAAATCAAACAACTGCTGCCTTGTAGTTCTTGGTTTGACAAAGGCTATGGAAGCAAATCCAAAAAGAAAAGCAGGCTGAAATCGGAGTCAATGGCCTCAATGGTGCATAACCAGTTGACACGTAATCCTTAATTGTGATGGAAGCATGGTCGAGTCGGCAAAACTCATGGTTGATAAATTCGCAAAAAGTCTCGAGGTCAAACCTTCTCGATCTCTCCCAACACTAAAAATTAAGAACGAAGAAGAAGAAGAAGCTCAAAAGTTGATACGGATCTACGATTTTGATAAAATACTTATATATAAAATTTCATCATTCTAGCTTTAACGGTACTCAAGTTATCGTGTTTACACACAGACACAGACACACACACAGAGAGACATACGGACAAGATTGCAAATTTATGTTTTTCCGTATCAGTGAGGTGTAAAACGTCTTCTCTATACTTCGTATATACGAGAAAGTAAAAATAGTGATTTTGAGAGATCATAGACTAATAAGAAAATAATATAAATAATCTTTATATCGTTCTATTTTAAGTATGAACATTAACATATAATAATCAATGCGGTAGTAATAAAAAAAATTGAACTTCAATTATTGAGAGTTGAATTTATTTTTCAATTACCTCCCTTGGCATTTTTTTTAAAAAATTGATTTTTTTAAATTAATTAGTTTTTCAACCCTCCTGTTATAAAAATGTATCCACTTTTTCTAGGAATAAAAACGAAAATGATATTTGACATTGATCCTTTTAATGTGTTTTAGCAATGTGCGTGTATTATTAATATTGTCTTTACGTTATGCAAAACAGTAAAAACTGTGGCAACTATGAAAAAAATTTATGTCGTTATATAAACAAATCCTACTCTTTAACTTATAATAAGACAATGCAATGCACTGAAAAGCACTGCATGGTGCGATGTTTACTTTTATGGTTCCAAAATATATAACGATGACGGAAGGAAGGAAGGACTGACACACTATATATATAAAGCAAAGTGCTTGTGTTAGGGTGCAGACGCTTCAAATTTGGCAGGCTCCAGCCTTGGGACAATAGAACACGGGGGCCGGCGCCTGTTGGCCGCAAAGTCCACGAAGAGAGGGTCAAAACTTATCTCGACTGACCGGCGCTTTATATGAGCTATATATCGAAAAAACATTTGCCGAACAACCCCCCACCCCCTTGATATTTTTTGAGGTGGTAGAAGAACGCCTAGGGTGTCAGAAAAATCTTTTCGGGAAAAATCTAGAAATGGGACAAAACTGACCAGTTATATATATATATATACTAGCTGCATCCCGTGCTCCGCCACGGTAAATCTTTTTTAAATGTACCAACTTTGGAACAGAACCAAACAAACAAAAACAACACAAACACAAAAAACACAACCACAAACACAACACAACCACAACACAACCACAACACAACCACAACACAACCACAACACAACCACAACACAACCACAACACAACCACAACACATCCACAACACATCCACAACACAACCACAACACAACCACAACACAACCACAACACAACCACAACACAACCACAACAAAACTACAACACAACCACAACCACAACACAACCACAACTTCAACACAACCACAACACAACCACAACACAACCACAACACAACCACAACACAACCAAAAAACAACCACAACACAACCACAAACACAACCACAACACAAACACAACCACAACACAACCACAACACAACCACAACACAACCACAAACACAACCAGAAACACAAACAAAACACAACCACAACACAACCACAACAAAAACACAACCACAACAAAAACACAACCACAACACAGCCACAACACAACCACAACACAACCAAAAAACAACCACAACACAACCAAAAAACAACCACAACACAACCACAACACAACCAACAAAAAAAACAACACAACCACAACATTAGAATCACCACCAAACAACACGCTTTTTTAGGCGTCCGCGCCCAAAGAGAGCCTTTCCAACATTAAAAATTTAAGTCACATAAATAGATCCTACTCCATAACTTACAATAAAACAATGCGATGCAAATGAATGTACGGCAAGTGGTGTTTACTTTTATGGTTCTAAGAAAACACATTGGCAATGTAATTAGAATTACCACCGAAAAACACGCTTTTCCCAGACGTCCGCGCCTAGAGAGAGTCTTTCCAGCATTCTCTATACTATAATTATAAAATTTCACCATCTGTTAACACCAAAAAACAAAAACAAAAAATAGTGATTTTGAGAAATCATAGACTAATTAGAAAATAATATAAATAATCTTAACATTTTTCTCTTTTAATTATGAACCTTAACATAGACTAATCAATGCGGTAGTAATAAAAAAAAGATTAACTTAAATTATTGTTGAGTTAAATATATTTTCAAATTACCTCCCTTGAAAAAATTACCACAAAAAAAAAAGTTGAATTAATAAGTTTTTTCGACCTACTTTTATGGAAATGTATCCATTTTTTCTAGGAATATAAACTAAAATGATATTTAACATTGATTTTTTTAATACGTTTTAGCAGTTTGCGTGTATTTAATATTTTCTTGACGTTATGCGAAAGAGTAAAAACCGTGGCAATTATAAAATAGCTCTATGCCGCTATATAAACAAACCCTACTCTAATACTTACAATAAGACACTGCGGTGCACTGAAAAGCACAGCATGGTGCGAATGTTTACTTTTATGGTTCCAAAATCTATAGCGATGACGGAAGGAAGGACTGACACACTACTTGCCCGATTATATTAAAGATATATATATATAGATATATATATATATATATATATATATATATATATATATATATATATATATATGTGTGTGTGTGTTATTGGCCGACCCTGGAAGGTAACAAAAAACATTATTCCTGTCGGAAAAATTCCATTAGGGTCGTTAGATTCACCTAGATGTCGTATTTTCTTATTTAAACAATAGTTTGTGAAAAAGTAAACGAACACTACGTTATTTGGTCTTTGTACAGGGGAGGTGACTTTTTAAAGTAATCATTTTTTAAATAAATTTTATAAAAAAAAATTACAAAGTATAACCTTTGTTTAAATAAATGTTTTGTTATGAATTAAGTTATATATTGTATTGAAATTGTAAAATTAATTGCGAAAGTGAATGTAATATAATGTTTTATTCATACTATTAAGGAAGCCTTTGTAGTTATAATAACCTTTGAAGTAATAAGTTTTCAAATACTCCACAAGTGTTTGCATAACATGAAATTAAACTTAGGCCCTAAGCATTCCACATGACAGCCAATCGCCGATTAATTAATCATTCAAATTCTCAACAGTTTTTTAAAATCTAAGCGAAGCTAGGCAGTATGCCTAGTTAGTATATATTAATAGGAGAAAGTTGAGGGGAGATCACTACCGCCTTATTTAAGATGATTTTTTTCTTTCTAAATGCAATATTTGACTTCAGCATCAAACCATCCATGTGATGGCTGCAAAAGTTTGAGATGTCAATTGGAAGAAATGAAAACTGAAATAGGAAACATGGCAGCAGAAATTAAAAAACTCAAAGTGAGTAGTTTCTTACACTTAACATAGTAAATTTATATATATCCTGTGTTATTATAAAAAGAGTTGTTTATTAAATATGAATCAAATCAAATAAAGTAAAAGATAATTTTGTCAATTTTGTTAAGATTTCTCTTAGGAACGCTAAGTTTCGGGTTTTTAAAAAACATTTCAAATTTAATTTCAGGATTGATAAAATTTGGGATTGTTAAAGAATGAAAATATATATTTAATTTTTTTTTCTTAGTAGCAACAACCCGTGCATTCTGAATGTACTGGATTGGAATGACATTTACACAAATTAATTTGATACACAAATTAATTTGATACACAAATTAATTTGATACACCATCTTGTCTCCTGCATTATGCTTTAATTATTTTGTTTTGCTAACCACGTCATGGCTAGCACCATTTCATCATTCAAGTATCTGATGTTAACAACCAGCAACCATTGCTTCCACCAGCAATTTAACTTCTTCAAATTGCACTTGACTGCAAAGTGGTTTTTCTTTCCACAGTTGTTACAAGTTCTATCCCATACCAGGCATTGTTCCATCTTAAGGACCTACAGTGTCCACACACACAAAAATGCATCCAGCAGTGGTCTTGATAGCTTTTACTACTTATATGAAATGACATTACATTAAATTTCATCTGATTATCTTCCATATCAAACATCACCTAGCAGCGTACACGATTTTGTCTCTGTTGATTCCGCTGCTTTAGACATTTGTATAAATATTTTCAGACTTAGTGGGGATAATAATCTTCTAGTATTAATCTCCATTATTCGTATCAACGCATACTGCTTAGCTTTGAATGTTAAGGTTTTCGAAAAATGTATGCGTAATATTTTGCCCTTTACACAAAACCCTATAATAATTACTAATCACTTGACACTACTACCAACATTTTAAACTTAAAATTAGTTAATGTTAATCATTATAACATTTAGATTTCCTTCTATTTCACTCTTCCTTTTTAATAACTATCGTTTGTATAGTGTGGTCTGAGAAGAGAGGGGGTGGAGGTCTGTAGGGCCAGTGGTGTGAAGCCCCCCCCCCCCCGCAAATCTTTTTCGGCCTCTTCCCTCGTATATATATATATATATATATATATATATATATATATATATATATATATATATATATATATATACATATATATATATACATATATATATATACATATATATATATACATATATATATATATATATATATATATATATATATATATATATATATATATATATATATATATATATATATATATATATATATATATATATATATATATATATGAACAAGGGCGCGTTGATGATTGGTTACGATTATTCCTTCTGGTTGTTGTGTTTGTTTCTCGTTTCCTTTCTGCCGTTTTGCCAATCGTGACAGATGTGTGACGTTCTTTGTTAGGTTCTGTTCAAACCACTCTCGCAGCACCCAAATACAACAGGTATGTAACCATCTGTCGTGTATGTATTCACCCTCGGCTTAGAAACTCAGCCGCTAGGCTGTGGAGACCTCATTAAACAGATGTAATGCTTTAACAGATGGGCCCCCCCTATAATATATATCTATACTTAGTAGATTTGAAGTATAACGAGACCTCATTAAAATCGATTAATTTAAATCTTTCATAGAAAGATGTGTCCATATTGAAGCACTCATCACAAGAACTCAGGGAGAGGATCGACTTGCCTCACCACCTTCAAAGTCCAGCCCCCTTAGGAGAAATACAAGCAAGGATTGGCTCTGTAGATACCCCAGCCCCTGATGCTACAACTACTTTCTCAGGATTCCCTGTCCAAGCTCCGGACAGTTCCAACTGGTCATAGCCCAGATCATCTCCAATAGTTCATCAGTCTATCAAATTATGTTCTCAATTTAATGGCTGATCATCTCCAATAGTTCATCAGTCTATCAAATTATGTTCTCAATTTAATGGCTGATCATCTCCAATAGTTCATCAGTCTATCAATTTAATGGCTGATCATCTCCAATAGTTCATCAGTCTATCAATTTAATGGCTGATCATCTCCAATAGTTCATCAGTCTATCAATTTAATGGCTGATCATCTCCAATAGTTCATCAGTCTATCAATTTAATGGCTGATCATCTCCAATAGTTCATCAGTCTATCAAATTATGTTCTCAATTTAATGGCTGATCATCTCCAATAGTTCATCAGTCTATCAAATTATGTTCTCAATTTAATGGCTGATCATCTCCAATAGTTCATCAGTCTATCAAATTATGTTCTCAATTTAATGGCTGATCATCTCCAATAGTTCATCAGTCTATCAAATTATGTTCTCAATTTAATGGTTGATCATCTCTGGATCTAATTAGATGAGATATAGAATGGATCTAATTAGGTGAGATATAGAATGGATCTAATTAGATGAAATCTAGGATGGATCTAATTAGATGAGATATAGAATGGATCTAATTAGATGAGATATAGAATGGATCTAATTAGATGAAATCTAAAATGGATCTAATTAGATGAGATATAGAATGGATCTAATTAGATGAGATATAGAATGGATCTAATTAGATGAAATCTAGAATGGATCTAATTAGATGAGATATAGAATGGATCTAATTAGATGAAATCTAGAATGGATCTAATTAGATGAGATATAGAATGGATCTAATTAGATGAGATATAGAATGGATCTAATTAGATGAGATATAGAATAATGACTTTGATCCCAGTGGTTGTGTACCAGCTGGTTGAATTATGTCAATTACCTGTTGCTGTTGTTGGTTTTACAGTATCATTTGATTTGTTTTCTTTTATGTCCAGTATAATTGGATAAATATAATCACATTTGTTATTATATTTTTATGGCACTGACTAACACATTAAAGTAAAACATATTATTACTGTGTATATATTGATGTGAACTTGTCATAGTAATTTACAAGCGGACCTAGAAAATGTAACCTAGTTTTTATTTTGTCTCATGCTTTTTAAAAAATATAGCTTACTTCTAAGTTGCTCACAAGTTTGTATTTATTCTCTAGATCATCAACACCTTATTCTCTAGATCATCAACACCTTATTCTTTAGATCATCAACACCTTATTCTCTAGATCATCAACACCTTATTCTCTAGATCATCAACACCTTATTCTCTAGATCATCAACACCTCTGCGCTAGGCCTCATCAACCACCCACCCTCATGATACAGTTATTAATTTGAAGAAAAAATAATTTCTTTTCCGAACTGTCGTCTGATTTTAATTCAGTAAAAATCATGTTGCTGAGAAAAATAAATCAAATTTTTTTTTTAAACTGTCTCTATTGAAGATTATTTTTTTGTTGTTGTTGAAAATGAAAGCTTTCAAAATAGTTTTATTTTCTGTTAACAGAAAAATAAACATTCTGTCAAACAAGAACACAAGGGGGAAAAACTCACAGGCAATTTTAATGACGTCACATTAAAGGAATAGGAATTTTCTAATCGAGTCAAACGAAATGAAACTTACAAAGTTAAACCTACCCACAAGTACACATAAAAGAAAGGCGTCAGTAATTGTAGAGTATACAAAAATATTAAAATCGACTCAAGGTCATTGAAACAAAGGCAAAAAAATTAAACGCCTTATTCGTTAAAATTTATAAGTCTACGTAGATACAATAATATACCAGAAAAGTAAGTTATAGGGTTATTTTGGGTTTTATTTTTGTGTTAAATTTCCGGAATTAAGTTAACATGCCGGTGCCGAATAAAGTTTTCATTTCCAGTTAAATTTCAGGTTGCGGTTAAAATTCCGTTCGAGTCAAATCTCATCTCCAAATAAAGTTCCATTTCGGGTTTAATTTCGTTACCGATTAAAATGTCCGTTTCGATTTAGGCTAGATATAGTTTCCATCTAACGATTTAGGCTAGATATAGTTTCCATCTAACGATTTAGGCTAGATATAGTTTCCATCTAACGATTTAGGCTAGATATAGTTTCCATCTAAACTTTTATTTCCTGTTAAATGTCCGGATTAGGTTTAAATGCCACTTCCGAATAAAGTTCCTGTTCGGTTAAATCGTATCCTGTTAAATTTCCGTTTCTTCCTAAATTTCCGTATCCATTTGGTAAAATTTCAGGATCCAGTTAAAAACCTATTCTGGATAAAAATCCCTTTTCAATGAAATTTCGTTTCCGGTTAAATTTCTCCCGTTTCTGCCTAAAATTCCGTATTGGGCTATATATCCGGATCCGGTTGAAATAACGATTCTGGATTAAAATCCGTTTTAATGATATTTTTCGCTTCCTGTTAAATTCGAGGTTAAGTTTGGGGAATTTTGGTTCTGGTTTCGATTTAGAGAAAAAGACAAACCATCAACCTAGCGCCTGTTTTATTTATTTCTCAACAGGCCATTACCTAGTCTATATAGCAGTGGCGGAACTAGAAAAAAAGGGCTCCCCCGCAAAAAAATTTTTTGGGCCCCCCCCTATATGTATATATATATATATATGTATATATATATATATATATATATATATATATATATATATATATATATGATAACGAACCAAACAACAAAGTCAACAATAAGTTCGAACTCATTTCGGGCCCGTAATAATCGTGTTTTACAAATGTTTGTATTACGTTTTATGGTTACCGTATATTGCCACAATAAAGTTGGCTGGTCAAAATTATATAAACACGTAAGCTTGATTTTGCAATGGTTTCTCGCGTTATGTCTATTTTTATGATTTTTTGTATTTATATTATTAGTTTTGAATACATTCATTTTTATAGCTATAGAATTCTTTAGTATGCCTTATTTAAATAATAAATAAGAGAATAAATGGCTCTTTAATTTACATAGTACAAAACTATTTAAATGAGCTTTATGGGCACTTGTGTTTTAATGAAGGGCAGTAAGTCATGGAAGTAGTGTGAACGTTTGCCTATCTTTCAAAGCAGAGCTCTTGTAGATTTTATATTTTTCTACGCAACAGTGTGTGTTAGTTACTGTAGAACAATCACTGTTATAGCAGACCTGTTTGTTTTTTACAAAACCACTATCAAGGTGCACGAAAAACATCATTTATGAAAAGAAAATTCATTGTTTTTTGGTCGGAATTGGGCCCCTAAACGTCGTGGGCCCCCCCGCATTGCGGGGTCTGGCGGCACTGTAGTTCCGCCCCTGCTATATAGTAGTGTCACTATTCTATCATTCTGTCTGTCTGACAAGAAAGCTCTACAGAAAACAAAAAGAAAATAAAAACGTTCACAGGAACCATAGTTTTAACGCCGGAAATGACTACACAATAAAAAGACGTAATAGATTCTGGGATAATAATAGAATAAAACATTTAATGCCAAAAACAATACACAATACTTATGACGTCATTGATTCTTGATAATAAAGACGCTAACACTGCCGTCTAATTTATTTGTTTAATCTACAAAGTGGTCTGCATACAGAGTTTCTTTTATAACAAGCTTTTATTTTAACTCACTTCCTCAGTCATCAGTCTGTCTAGATCGAAACGCCCGTGCAAAATTGCAGGCACTTCTGACAGATACGGTTCGTAGTTGGTACGTGTGTCAAGACATGAAGACAATGCATCATGATATTAAATTTGACTTAATTAGCTGCCTAATTAATTGTTTATAAATTAATTAAAATTGTGTCCAAATTAGTATGCTGTCTCATCAAACTATTCCGCGCTATTAGACACGCGTCATCACGTTCAATAGGTGCGCAATGGTTTTTAGTCATGTTACTCTATTGTAAATAAAACATGTAAAGTACTAAAAAATCAACCGGGAGCGATCTCCCCTTAACTTTCTTGAATATTCTTATATAATACAACAAGGTATGGCAACTCATGATATATACACATGATTTTTAATTCATTTCAAATACTTAAACTTTTAAAATAGAATAAAATCTCGTAGAAAAAATAATTGCACACGAAGCGAACGCCAAATAAAATGTGCATAATAGTGCGGAATAGTATTAGTACTTTATAAATGTCACATGCGTTTTTTGAGAAATCGGAAATTGCAAAAATTACTACTTCCGGTCCACAGAAAGTACTCAAAATTTAATAGAAGGCATAGAATTGGATCTTTTACTTACATTTGAAATTTCATTTATCTCTCTGAAATAGTTCTCAAGTTATAGGCTTTTGAAAAATTGAAATTAGAAAAAGTTCCACTTCCGGTTATCGGAAATCGCTCAGAAGTTTCTCGAGTTCAAACCCTCTGGCAGATAATGCTCGATCCCTTCCAACACTAATAAACCGGGAGTGATCTCCGTTAAACTTTCTCGGATATTCTAATATAAAACTACGAGGGATGGCAACTCAGGACATAGACAATATTTTTAATGCATTTTTAATTACTTAAACTTTTTATAATAGAATGGAAGCTCGTAAAAAAAAAAGAATTGCACACTTAGTGAACGCCTAATAAAATGTGCATAATAGTGTGCGATATTATTAGTACTTTATAAATTTACGTGCGTTTTTTGAGAAATCGGAAATAGCGTAAATTAGTACTTCCGGTCAACGGAAATTAATCAAAATTTGACAGAAGGTAGAGAATTAGATATTTTACTTACATGTGAAATTTCTTTTATCTATCTGAAATAAAACTCAAGTTATATGCTTTTGAAAAATTCAAAGTAGAAAAAGTACCACTTCCGGTTATCGGAAATCACTCAAAAGTTGATACTGATCTACGATTTTGATAAAATTCTTATATATGAAATTTCATCAACGTAGCTGTAACGGTACTCAAGTAATCGTGTTTACACACACACACACACACACACACACACACACACACACACACACACACACACATAGACATACGGACAAGATTGCAAAATTATGTTTTTCCGTATCAGTGAGGTGTAAAACGTCGAGATTTGTAAAAATCTCGATTTTTTTTTATTTTATTTTTTTGCACGATTACAATACTTTCTCTATACTTCGTATATACGAGAAAGTAAAAATTAAGAACGAAGAAGAAGAAGAAGCTCAGAAGTTGATACGGATCTACGATTTTGATAAAATACTTATATATGAAATTTCATTAACCTAGCTGTAACGGTACTCAAGTTATCGTGTTTACAGACACACACACACACACACATACAGCCATACGGACAAGATTGCAAAACTATGTTTTTCCGACTCAGGGAGCTGTAAAACGTCGAGATTTGCATTTTTACTTTCTCGTATATACGTAGTATAGAGAAAGTATTGTAATCGTGCAAAAAAAAAAAATCGAGATTTTTACAAATCTCGACGTTTTACACCTCACTGATACGGAAAAACATAATTTTGCAATCTTGTCCGTATGTCTGTGTGTGTGTGTGTCTGTCCGTGTGTGTGTCTGTCCGTGTGTAAACACGATAACTTGAGTACCGTTACAGCTAGGTTGATGAAATTTCATATATAAGTATTTTATCAAAATCGTAGATCCGTATCAACTTTTGAGCGATTTCCGATAACCGGAAGTGGTACTTTTCCTACTTTGAATTTTTTAAAAGCCTATAACTTGAGTACTATTTCAGATAGATAAATGAAATTGCACATGTAAGTAAAAGATCTAATTCTCTACCTTCTGTTAAATTTTGAGTAATTTCCGTTGACAGGAAGTAGTAATTTACGCTACTTCCGATTTCTCAAAAAACTAATGTAAATTTTAAAAGTACTAATAATATTGCGCACTATTATGCGCTTTTTTATTTCGCGTTCACTTGGTGTGCAATTAATTTGTCTACGAGATTTTATTCTATTTTTAAAACTTTAAGTAGGCTATTTAAAATGGATTAAAAATCATGTCTATAGCCCGAGTTCCCATCCCCTGTTATTTTATATAAAAATATTCGAGAAAGTTTAGGGGAGATCACTACCGGTTTATTTTTTTTGTTTTTGCACGATTACAAGACTTTCTCTATACTTCGTATATACGAGAAAGTGAAAAGAAATGCTTTGTGTCGTATATAAATCTTAAAGCCTAAACGGATCGGGTTTATAATACTGTTTATAATACTGGCGCATTATAACACAAGAAATGTACACACTTTCTGGTTAAATTCGTAACATTTCAAATTGTTTTCAACTTTTTAAATATTTTCCACAATTTTAGCTATTATAATTTAAATACTTTGTGATGTGTTCAACGCCGGTGTTATTTAGTTTATTATTTATAGACTTTTTTTCTTTTAGTATTTATTTAATATTCTGAAATATAAAAGGGTAATACGATATAATAAAATTAGATATTTTCATAATTTTAAAATATGCTATTATCATAAGTCAAGATTTACTTTTTATTTTTTCTAAACACTTTCAAAGCTGCTTTGTTTAGTAATTATTATTTATTTTATCACTTCTTAAGATCTCATTTCTTAATTTACTAAGAGTGGTTAAGGTTGTAGTGCGGGTTGGTTTGTTTTTATTTATGCTCATCTTTAAGATAATGCGTAGTTTCTATATCTATAATATAAGCTGCCAGTGTCATCGCACTTCCGTCATTTCATCATCGGTATCTATACTTCGCTTATAGAGCGACGCATACACACCGTGAGAGCGTTGGCTCTTTTTTTTTAAATTTATTTTACCGTTAATTTTCGTTAATATCCATATCCACACCAACGTGCACGGTGCGCAGAGGGAATAAGCTAGTTATAAATATACGAGATAATGGACGGGACTTCCGCTTCATTTTCTTGATGGATACACATTTCCCACCAACCACCTACATAGAATAGTTCTCCTTTCGACAAAAGTGATACCCAAACAAAAAAAATCTTTAAAACTACTTTGCTTCGTTTGTTTTAAATAGCCTACACTGGACGAATTATCAAAATATTCCAAGTCTCGTTGAAATTCCCATTATAACGTTGATGAGATGCAATTTCTATAATGTAAATTAATGTTTGGTTGCAAATGCTAATCACAGTGGGAATTGCCGTTTTTTGTGGGGTTTTTTGTACAATTGAACGTGACATTTGAAAAGTCGTTGTCAACTAGATTTTAAAATGATCCTAATATCACTAGATCTTGATCGTGTGTCGCCTGGACATAAGTAAATGTCTATAAAAGACTTCGTCTTGACTACTGATGACAAGTAAGTCTACAGTTTCTTTTTTTAAATAGATCATTTTTCAACGGTCGTAGAATTAAGAAATTTAATTAGATCTGGATGTAGCTCTAGATCTATACCTACAAGCTCTACAGTAATCTATAGTGACAGTAAATTGTGCGTCAATGTAGCCTAAATGTTTTATATAAAATCTAAAAGAGATCTAGGACCTAGATTCTAGGTTATTCTAGACCGACAGTTATCTTTTTGTCAACGTGTATTGAACTTGTGTTAATGAAGGCGCCTATCTTGTGGTCGGTGTGTAGAGGTAGATCCAGATGTAGATGATGTAGATGTAGATGATGTAGACGTATAATTATATGTAGACGTAGATGTGATGTAAATGTAGATGTATATGACATAGATATATTCTGCTGAGATGAATGAAGTGAATGTTTTCACAGAGCATTGTGGCAACGATTTAAAGGTCTTGTTGGAGCACAGGTGGTACGTCTGAGTGTAGTCGAGGATTACATGCCTCGTCCTTCCAGTTTCTCTTCTCAGTTCTCCAGCGAGACCTCGGGCTCAGAAAACTCGTTCATCCAAGATGGAGACCTGAACCAGTTGCAGAGAAACACGAATGCTCTGTGCCATGTCGGTAAACAGCCGTTTTTGGGTAAGCTGTTTATTTTATGTTAGCCACTGTAAGATGTTTATCTTATGTTAGCCACTGTAAGATGTTCATCTTATGTTAGCCACTGTAAGATGTTTATCTTATGTTAGCCACTGTAAGATGTTCATCTTATGTTAGCCACTGTAAGATGTTTATCTTATGTTAGCCACTGTAAGATGTTTATCTTATGTTAGCCACTGTAAGATGTTTATCTTATGTTAGCCACTGTAAGATGTTTATCTTATGTTAGCCACTGTAAGATGTTTCTAACTAAATGTATTCATTTATAAAAGTAATCACATGTTTCTAACTAAATGTATTCATTTATAAAAGTAATCACCTGTTTCTAACTAAATGTATTCATTTATAAAAGTAATCACCTGTTTCTAACTAAATGTATTCATTTATAAAAGTAATCACCTGTTTCTAACTAAATGTATTCATTTATAAAAGTAATCACCTGTTTCTAACTAAATGTATTCATTTATAAAAGTAATCACCTGTTTCTAACTAAATGTATTCATTTATAAAAGTAATCACCTGTTTCTAACTAAATGTATTCATTTATAAAAGTAATCACCTGTTTCTAACTAAATGTATTCATTTATAAAAGTAATCACCTGTTTCTAAAAATCTAGTACGAAAAGTCTGTACAGAACTTGTAACGTTAAAACAAAAGATTAAATAGCGTGTCGTTTATACAAAAGTGATACAGCACTGTGGAATAAGACGATTCTTACAATGTCTCGATAGCCAACTTTTTCTATTGACAGTGTCCGAACAAATAGTCAAAATTCACTGCCTGTCTGCTAGTGCCAACATTATAATGATGTTGTAGTTCTACTTGTTTGCTATTGTGACCATTGAAAATTTAATGGAACTTAGGTGAAGAGGGGAGGGGGTGTATATTGTTCTTTACAAAAATGTAAAGGTATATGCAATCCTATGTGAGTTTTAAAGGCTTTTATTTTTCTTGCTCAGTATGTTTGTGTGTGTGTGTGTGTGTGTGTGCGTGTGCGTGCGTACAAGCGAGCTTATGTGTGTGTTGTATGAGTGTGTGTTTTGTATGTGTGTATGTGTATGTGTTATATGTGTGTGTATGTGTGTATGTGTGTTTGTGTATGTGTGTTGCTCCGCAAAGATTGGAATCTAAATTTAACCCACATCCCACTGTCAGATTTATCTGAGATTCGGCCAATAAAAGAATGTTTAATCTAATTAGATAGACAATCAATCGTTAAAAAAATTATTTTAAAAATGAACAAATTTCTATATTTCAATCGAAGATTCCACAAATTTCGGGTGCGCGGACCTTTGACCACAGGTGCTTTGACCATAGGGGGTTTGACCATAGGTGGTTTGACCATAGGGGTTTCGACCACACCGGGGCTTTAACCATAACGGTGCTTTGACCATAGGAGCTTTGACCATAGGGGGTTTGACCACAGGTGTTTTCTCAGCAGAGGGTCTTTGATCACAGGTGGTTTGTCAACGGGTGTTTGATCACAAGCGCCGTGTCCGCCTTTGACCACAGGTGCTTTGTCCATATAGGGTCTTTGATCACAGATGGTTTGTCCGATGCTGGCGTTTGATAACAAGCGCGCGGGCAGATGAGGCTCGTTAGCTGGGGACAGCCACTCTTCTAGGAGAGACAACTCTAAAATCAAACAACTGCTGCCTTGTAGCTTGTTCTTGGTTGGACAAAGGCTATGGAAGCAAATCCAAAAAGAAAAGCAGGCTGAAATCGGAGTCAATGGCCTCAATGGCGCATAACCAGTTGACACGTAACGCTTAATTGTGTTGGAGGCGTGGTCGAGTCGGCAAAAAGCTCATGGTTGATAAATTCGAACAAAGTCTCGAGTTCAAACCAACTGGCAGATAAAATCTCGATCCCTTTCAACACTTATAATTAATTTAAGAACGGAGAAGAAGATAACAAGCGCTTTGTCCTTATATGGTAAGGATTAATTTTAAAAGTTGTGTAATTATATATTAAATTGCGACAGGATGTAATAGTATGTTAATTCATTTGTCATTTAATTAACCATAAAAGTATTACTTCTTTGACTATTCTGTTGGCATGTTTTTTATCCTTTATATATGCAAAGTATTTTCAAGTACATCAACATTATTTATTTGTGAAACGTGTTATATGTCGCATTATTGGTGTTCCGTTTATATTTAAAATAAATCTATGAGGTCTAGCACCAGACTTTATGTGGAGACTAAAATATCGTTCTTGACTATTTTAGTACGTGTTAATTTCTATTAATGGACTTTCAGAAAACATTTATAAAATGGTATAAATTGTATCATAAATTAAAATAGCAGTTTATTATTTCTATTTTAAAATCTTTAAATTCTGCTCCGCTGTGGTCAAACCCCCTATGGTCAAACACCCTATGGTCAAAGCACCTGTGGTCAAAGCGGATTCTTAACTTAACCCACTTTCCGTCCGATTGAGCTGAAATTTGTTGGCACAGTGGTAGATCTTGGATGACAATACATGAATATCGATTTTTTTTTATCTAATGGAGGCGAGCGAGTTGGCGAGAATCCTTCCATCATGTTGTTGACAGGGTATAAAAACATGCTTTTAGATTTAGCAAACAAAGCGACCGTAAAAATAATTTGGTTGAAATAAAAACTTAAGCCTAAAATTAATTCAGAAATTTTATATTTTTAGAATCAATGCTATAAAAGTTGTAAATCCAGTTGCTTTATATTTTTAGAATCAATGCTATAAAAGTTGCAAATCCAGTTGCTTTATATTTTTAGAATCAATGTTATAAAAGTTGTAAATCCAGAGAACTTGAAAATAATTTTTAGAGTTTAAGGCTACATTTCTATTTATTTTCATCAAGCCTAAGTTATAACCGGATGTTTCACTTTCGTCAAGACAAATATTGATTGGCTGTACAGGAACTCCGTGATCGATAACTAATTGCTTAAAAACTTTGCAGATCAAGTTTTAAAATAACAATTCAAATTTAAATCCCATGACCTAGTTTTCCTTTTTTTTTACTTTCTCGTATATACGTAGTATAGAGAAAGTATTGTAATCGTGCAAAAAAAAAATCGAGATTTTTACAAATCTCGACGTTTTACACCTCACTGATACGGAAAAACATAATTTTGCAATCTTGTCCGTATGTCTGTGTGTGTGTGTGTGTCTGTCCGTGTGTGTGTCTGTCCGTGTGTAAACACGATAACTTGAGTACCGTTACAGCTAGGTTGATGAAATTTCATATATAAGTATTTTATCAAAATCGTAGATCCGTATCAACTTTTGAGCGATTTCCGATAACCGGAAGTGGTACTTTTCCTACTTTGAAATTTTTAAAAGCCTATAACTTGAGTACTATTTCAGATAGATAAATGAAATTGCACATGTAAGTAAAAGATCTAATTCTCTACCTTCTGTTAAATTTTGAGTAATTTCCGTTGACAGGAAGTAGTAATTTACGCTACTTCCGATTTCTCAAAAAACTAATGTAAATTTTAAAAGTACTAATAATATTGCGCACTATTATGCGCTTTTTTATTTCGCGTTCACTTGGTGTGCAATTAATTTGTCTACGAGATTTTATTCTATTTTTAAAACTTTAAGTATTTAAAATGGATTAAAAATCATGTCTATAGCCCGAGTTCCCATCCCCTGTTATTTTATATAAAAATATTCGAGAAAGTTTAGGGGAGATCACTACCGGTTTATTTTGCTTACAATGTGTACAATAAAATTTATGGCAGTCTATCGAATAGCATGGTGCCCAGTGGCGTAGGCAGGGGGGTAGGGGGGGGTCATAACCCCCCATTGACCCCTCGGTATATATATATATCAAGTATGAGGGGGGTTGCAAATCGAAAGTTTTGGGGGGGTGCAAATCGAAAGGTTGAGGGGGGTGCAAATCAAAAGTCTGAGGAGGGGGTGCAAATCGAAAGTCTGTCCCCGGGTAAAAATTGGACCCCCCCCCCCCCCCCCCTTGAGACGATCCTGGCTACACCACTGATGGTGCCATTGTTTATGTCGCTATTGCACTTGAAAACCTATTAGCCCGCTTAGTAGGCAATTTATGATAACCCGTTAAGATTAATATTGCCAAAAATGTCTTCAAATCTACTTGATTCATTTTCAAATTATATCTGTTATTTTGATTGGCGTACACAATATTGTTTTGAACAAACATGTTCATTACACTTTTAACAAAACATTTTCAAACAACATAACAGGTTTGTGGTCTTTCATTGATTTCTAAGTGGTATATCATCCCCGCCGTTTCGATCTGAATAATTGAGATCGAGATGACGAGGTATTACCTCGGTCTGTTGTGAATAATTGAGATCGAGATGACGAGATATTACCTCGGTCTGTTGTGAATAATTGAGATCGAGATGACGAGATATTACCTCGGTCTGTTGTGAATAATTGAGATCGAGATGACGAGATATTACCTCGGTCTGTTGTGAATAATTGAGATCGAGATGATGAGATATTACCTCGGTCTGTTGTGAATAATTGAGATCGAGATGACGAGATATTACCTCGGTCTGTTGTGAATAATTGAGATCGAGATGACGAGATATTACCTCGGTCTGTTGGAAGAGTTGACGAGATAAGATCATCATTTCCTCCTTCATCATTCACAACAGCAGGATCTGGTGGAACCAAGAGAACATCGTACTCCTCATATTATCATTATCATCAGACATTAGCGATTCAAGAGCTTTATCTAGCCCTAAATAGTTATTTTGACTTGTAAAGATGCGACGGAGTTCCATTGTAGAAACTGTGTAGCTACAAAATATGAATACTTATAGTACAGATCTGCCCATTTGAGTAGTGCTATAAAATGCAGCCTACTGCATTGTAATATAAAAAGGATGTAAAAACAATAACAACACATGTTTTATTATGGTCTTATTGTATATTTCGATAAAGAAATAGTAACAAAACTTTATTAGGTATTTTTTTAAAAAAATATGTATCTAACCTTTATACACGCGCTTGTGAGCAGGAAAAACGAACTAACAAAAATGACAGTTATCATTGCACTGCCACCATATTGAATTTTGTTTAGACAACTAGTGCAATCTATTGTTCCAGGATAAACATTATTGAAAATATATCACCACTTAAACAAGTGTACTCATGCGAATACAGAAGGAGGTAATGGGTTAGTTACCGAAAATATTAAAAACATCCAATCGTTAGTAAAGTCGAAAAAAAAAACAAGACAGACAGAATTTTATAACCATATTAATTGTAACTACGCCGTGCATGATTTTTAAATTAAATAATGGGCCTCTCGAATACTTTCTCGCTCGCGTCCATTAGTTAGACAATTAGTCATTACAATTTTATTTTTAAAATTTCAATTATAATAAAGCGGGAGTGATCTCCCCAAACTTTCTCGAATATTCTTATATAACACTATGGGGGATGTCAACTCGGGATATAGACATTATTTTTACAAGCTTTTATTTAACTCACTTCCTCTGTCGTCAGTCTAGATCGAAACGCCGAAGCGAAATTGCAGGCACTTCTAACTGACTTCGTAATTGGTACGTGGGTCAAGGCATGAAGACAATGCATCGTGACATTAAATTTGACTTAATTGGTCGCCTGATTAATTTTTTATGAATTAATTAAAATTTGGATAAAATTAGTAGGCAGTTCTATCCACACGCGTCATCACGGCAAAAGCGCGTCATCACGTTCAATAGCTGCGCACTGGTTTTTAGTCATGTAGCTCTATTGTAAATAAAAACATATAAAGTACTAAAAAAAAATCATTAAAAACTTTTTAATAACAAGCTTTTATTATTCATGTAACTCTACTGTAAATAAAAACATATGAAGTACAATTTTTTTCCCTAAAAAACGTTTTAATAACAAGCTTTTATGTAATAATGCACTGAAAAGTAGAAAATAAATTATACACTACTATTTAAATTACTATAAAGAAAAGCGTGGGTCTCTTCCTTAATATTAGTAAAGGTATCCAATAGATACTGAAAAGTTAATACAGAACTAGAAATTTGATATAATACTTATATATGAAATTATTTCATCAACCTAGCTGTAACGGTAGGCCTACTCCAGTTATCGTGTTCACACATATATACGGACAAAATTGGAAAAATATGTTTTTTCCTAACCCTAACCCCAAGGTGTAAAACGTCTATTTTTGCACGATTACAATACTCTATTCTTCTTATGTATACGAGAAAATAAAAAAAAAAGAGATAACAAGATTTTTAAAAAATACTTGCAATCGCTGGATCAGATTCAGAGGGCCGTCTAAGCTCCGGTTAGCATAAAAGACAAACACACACACACACACGCACACGCGCACTCTCTTATTTATATAGATATATAGATGTTAACTTTAAATTAAAACAAATCCAAAAATAAAAATCAAAGTTTACTTTTTGCTTGTCATTTGTTGGCCTAAAAATGAAGGTAAACTCCAATCTACACAACAGGTGTGGAAGCTGTGTCCCGGGATGTGAGGCCGCTGCTCAACTTTCTTCTTTCTAGCTTGCATGATGTGACGTCATCAAATCTGGATGGTGATAGATGTGAAAGCGGTAAACGACAAAAGGAAAACAAACGCAATATGAGATGTATGTTTCAATTACGTTCTGTCTGATAGCATGTGGGTTAGGTTTAGTTCCATTCTGTTTAAATTATAGTTTGATTGAGTTCGATTATATCGATTATATAAGATAGGTAACTTTTGAAAGTAATAATTTTTTAAAATAAGTTTTATACTATTTGCAACAAAAAACAGAAAACCACAAAGAACGGCATTTTTTTTTAATAAGAATTTCGTTATAGATTAAGTTATGTATCGTAATTTAATTGAAAAAATTATTTGCAAAAGCTAATGTAATTATATAAAGCTCAACAAATGGATTCTGTTTCTCTGTCTGTATGTATGTATGTGACAGCGGTTGAACCCTTGGTATAAGAGGCATATAGTAAAAAACACAATACTTGATCGCCATAGTGTAATACAGGGGTCTCCAAACTACGGCCCGCGGGCCGGATGCGGCCCGCGAGGTCCTTCCATCCGGCCCGCGGAGATCATTTTGTTTACGGAAAAAATCGTTTGTTGTTGATGGCTGAGGAACTTTGCCCAGAAAAATTAAAGACATGCCTGGAAGAAATTGGCCCCCGAACTGAAATTTTATAGTTAATGCGGCCCTCGGACTGAAAAGTTTGGAAACCCCTGGTATAATACATCTAAAGTGTTTTTTATCTAAATTAATAATTTTAAAAATGATTATATAAGGTTTTGTAAAACAAATTTAAATTCCCAAATGTATAATTTTTAATTAACGTCAAATGGAATAAAAGAAGTCAAAGAATATGTATCATCCTTCTCAAAAGTGTTAAAAGTGTATAAATTACTTCATTTTGGTCCTTTATTGTGAATTACTTCCATTGATAGATCACTCACAAAAATATTACTTCCCTTTAAAAAAAACATTACATCGGGGGAAAAATTATTTTTTATAAGATTGTTTTGGTGTTGGAAATAAATAATTATATAATTGGAATTGAAATCATCTTTCAAGTAATACGTTTGCGAATGTTCCACAAACGTTTATTCTGTCATGAAATTACTGTTTTAACTTAAGCACTCCACATAAAAGTCATCGCCAATTGATTAATCATTCAAATTCTCAATTATTACTTTTTTTTTAAAACCTAAGCAAAGCTAGAGTGTATGCCTAGTATATCGTATATATCTCATACTATTTTGATGCAAAAAAATAATTGAAGATTATTAGTATTCGTTACTGTTATAATTTCAATGCATATCAAAGTAATTATCCCACTAAAAGTATATATATACATATATATATATATATATATATATATATATATATATATATATATATATATAGTGGAATGTTCGAAATTAAAAGATTTACATTAATAATTACAATAATTATCTCATATTAACAGAGGCGTGGCTAGTGGAGGGCGGTTGGCGGGCTGCCACAACCGCCGACTTAAAGGGGCGCTAATAATACATAGATAGATAGGTAGCTACTAATATAAAAGCTAATTACTGAATTATATATACAGTCGAAATTAAGAATGTGACTGCTACTTGGCATTACGGTCCTATTTTATTGCTTTCTACATAATTTGTGTGACACCAAAAAAAAAAAGCGCCCCGACCTTTCAAAAAAAGTTAGGTAGGGGGCATATTTTGAACTTCGCGAATAACTATAAATAGGTCAAAATTGATAGTTCGTCCTGTGCACCGAAGTAGATCGCTACGCCTTTGTATATCACCCTTTTATATAATATAAAGTTATTAATTATTACTTTTTAATAATGGCGATTACACATTTTTGCGCCCCCGTATGGTTAGCGCCCAAGGCGACCGCCTAGTTCACCTTATAGGTAGCGCCTATATATGAATGATTTATTTATTTGCGATTAGATATTATGTAGAATGATTGTGGGCTTAAGTTTGTGGTACTATTTGGCGCGCAATTCAACGTCTTAGACCTCGGCATATAAAGGGATAATTTGGTCAGCACGATGCCCAGCAGCCTTTACTTTCCTTAACGTGAGTTAGGTACCTATCAGAGTTGGGTGGACTTAGGGACGTTCCACTTGCTTGAACCTGGATTCGAACTGGAAACGATCGAGTTAGCAGTCTAGCGCTCTACAGCTAGGCCATGTTAGAACATATAGGCCTACTAAATTACTATTTTAAATCTATATCAGTCGTCACTAACCAACGATGAGGACTGTAATATTTAAATGCCTAGTATATATATATATATATATATATATATATATATATATATATATATATATATAAATATATATACATATACATATATGTAAGCCCTGCTAGGGGGGGGGATACCTAAAATCTACCCTTCTAGGCTTATCTAACTAACTAATCTGTCCGGTCAGTGCAACCGTGGTAGAACCCACAGTGGTTAAACCCTAACCTTAGTCTAAATTTAAAAAAAACAGAAAAAAATCTTTAACAAATAATATAAAATTTATTTAACAAAATAAATATGGAACCAAAAGTTATTATAAAAAAACCAGAATCTAGATCTAGACAAAACACTCAAGACATACAAAACAGAAACAGAACTCAACGGAGACCCAATTTCGGACCCCTGTCCATACACCACATAAACGTGACACAGAAACTCTTCAACACACAGGCCTCGACATTCCAGCAGAATGTCCCTCCTTGTCGACACACCACATTCACGAACAAAGAAACCAATACTACGAACAAAGAAACCAATGCTACGCACAAGAAAATAGTCCCTAATACAATAATAAGTAACATTCAGGACATAAAGCAAAGTGGAGCAACAATCCAAAACAAAGTTTGCATAAATAATAACATTAAAATATAAACAAGACACAATAACCAGGCTACAAACCATTGTAAAATCAAAATCATATCAGCGCCATAATAGCGGACTACTTAACTAAAAACCACAACAATCCTCAAAGGAACATAAAAAGCGACATTTGCCTTCTTAGTTACAAATAATTATAATAACAGATAAACACACTCCAGCCGCTCACATACACGCCCCTTAAAGCTTGCTGTCACCGCAAGCTAAATAACTTGAAAAAAATCAGCCCACAGGGCACAATCATAATTTTACAAAAACAAAAACTTTGCAAAAAAACCAGCCCACAGGGCACAATCACAATTTCAGCAAAACACAATAAAATTTTGCAAAAGAACTTGCAAAAAAATCAGCCCACAGGGCACGATCATAAATTTTACAAAAAACAAAATTTTGCAAAAAAATCAGACGATGTGGCTGTAGCAGCCGGCGGTACAACTTTGACCGGCCTTGGGGAGGGCGGTTGAGCCTTGGGAGGCACATATCTCCTAATCTGTGTGCTGGCCACCCGGCGGGTGCCAGAAGGGCCATCTTTCTTTTTAATGGTGTAACACCCGCCGGTGATCGGAGGTAATTCAACCACGACATAAACTGTCGGGCCGTCCAGGTCTGCCATTTTGCGTCTGCCTAGTGGGGGTTGTCTCAGAAGGACCAGGTCGCCTATGGCCAGTTCAGCTACAGGTGCCTTTTTGACCAGTTTGTCCTTCTTGCTTGACTCTGTCTGGGGGCATGCCCCAGCACCACCACCCGGTGCCTTAATTAAGGATGGGTTAGGTGGAACCATTGCCTCTAGTTCCTCAGATTGGTCCACCTTTACACTGGTTATGCTGGCGCGTAGGCAGGATGTTGGGCCTGATACCACTGACGGATCTGGGTGAAAAGGTTGGTCTAATGGCTGTACCACCTTGTCGTCCTTCATTCTGGGGTCTCCTTCCGTCGCCTGAATGGTTGGTACACCCTTGGCAGGCACCAGAGTCCTTTCGCGGGGGCGGAGGACCTTGTCCCCTCGCCATCTCTTCGGTGTCACTTGATTCCCTTTGGGCCCATATTTCTTTGCCATATGGCAATGACGGGCGAGGTGACCCCTCTGGTGACAGTTATAGCAGCCCTTTGAGTGGACCTCCGTGCGCTTGCGAGGTGCTTGGCGCACATTGGACAATTTGGTGTCCCGCGTAAAGTGCTTCAGCAGAGCAGCAAGCTGCTCTGTGAGCCTGTTGACTTTGTCCTCCAGCTTGGACCTGAACGAACATTTTCCAATTGGCCTGGCATCTATTGCTGCCACGTAGGCAGGTTCAGCAAGAGGGTCCTCGTCTCCAGACCATCGAATGGCCGCATCACGTATGGCCAGGAAGGGGATCTTAGGGTCCCGGAAAATCAGCTCGTGCAGATGGCGTCTGACTGTGGCCTGGCTCAGGTTTTCCACAAACTGGTCTCGAAGAAACCCTGCATCAGTCTGTGGGACCTGCAGGGCACTCTGCCTCGTAACCAGGGTCTTGAAGGCTCTGTGCAGTCGGTGCGAGTAGGCCCTCACCGACTCGTGTTGGCCCTGTACAACCATCTGAAACTGGGCCATGAGCTGCGGTACTCTCCTCTTCTCGCTGTACACCTCTCTGAGGAGCCTGAGGGTGGCTTCTGGGTCATGCTGCAGGTCATCACCCCTGCAGCTCAGCTCCTCTCTCACCGCTTCCCCCAGGTACTGCCAGAGGAGGTCCTTCCTCTCTTCTACTGAGAGGTCTCCCCTGGCCCTCCAGAGGGACTGGACCTCTTTGATGAACCGGTCCACCTCATAGCCATGGCTGTCCCCATGAAACTTCCTGATGAGGATCTCCCTGGGTGGAACGATGATGATGGTTGGTGCCACCTCCGCCATCTCGTCCGAATTGGGTGTTTTAAACAACAAACGGTTCCTACACTAAACAAAAACTAAACACAAATGGTTCCATAAAGGGCCTATCAAGAAAAAAATTTATCTAAGCTACACTAGCCCTAGAAAAACAAAAATTTAACTAGACTAAAGCACTGACCCCACTCGTGCTACCAATTTGTAAGCCCTGCTAGGGGGGGGATACCTAAAATCTACCCTTCTAGGCTTATCTAACTAACTAATCTGTCCGGTCAGTGCAACCGTGGTAGAACCCACAGTGGTTAAACCCTAACCTTAGTCTAAATTAAAAAAACAGAAAAAAATCTTTAACAAATAATATAAAATTTATTTAACAAAATAAATATGGAACCAAAAGTTATTATAAAAAAACCAGAATCTAGATCTAGACAAAACACTCAAGACATACAAAACAGAAACAGAACTCAACGGAGACCCAATTTCGGACCCCTGTCCATACACCACATAAACGTGACACAGAAACTCTTCAACACACAGGCCTCGACATTCCAGCAGAATGTCCCTCCTTGTCGACACACCACATTCACGAACAAAGAAACCAATACTACGAACAAAGAAACCAATGCTACGCACAAGAAAATAGTCCCTAATACAATAATAAGTAACATTCAGGACATAAAGCAAAGTGGAGCAACAATCCAAAACAAAGTTTGCATAAATAATAACATTAAAATATAAACAAGACACAATAACCAGGCTACAAACCATTGTAAAATCAAAATCATATCAGCGCCATAATAGCGGACTACTTAACTAAAAACCACAACAATCCTCAAAGGAACATAAAAAGCGACATTTGCCTTCTTAGTTACAAATAATTATAATAACAGATAAACACACTCCAGCCGCTCACATATATATACATATATATACATATATATACATAAGCCCTGAGAGGGGGATGTCTTAAACCTACTCCAATCTAACCCTAAGGACTATCAGCTATCGGGCGTCGGTACAACTGAAGCTAAAGCCACGGTTGTTAAAACCTAATGGCGTGGTTGAGCCTCGAGTTCAAACCTAATGGCGTGGTTGAGCCTCGAGTTCAAACCCTCGGGCAGATGAGACTCGACAGCTGGAGACATCAACTCTTCTAGGAGGGACAACTCCAAAATAAAACAAGTGCTGCCTTGTTGTTTGTTCTTGGTTGGACAAAGGCCATGGAAACAAATAAAAAAAAGCAGGCTCCTTTTTTTATTTTTGATGACTGGGAGGAGTTCGGGGGGGGGGGGGGGGTATTTTTTCTAGCAGGTCTAGCTAAACTTGTAATCAAATTGTGACGTCATTACCAGGCGTGTACAAGAAGTCTCTAACGCTGGAAAGTCAGCTCCACCAGTACATCAACCCCAACCTCGTGACCTCGCTCAACAGACGGGCAGCCAAGGCAGCATTTGAGGCAGAACTCATGTGTAAGATGATTGACAAGTTGCGAAAAGAGGGACGAAAGGTAAACGGCCATCAGAACACATGGTCCATTGGCCATCAGAACACATGGTCCATTGGCCATCAGAACACATGGTCCATTGGCCATCAGAGCACATGGTCCATTGGCCATCAGAACAAATGGTCCATTGGCCATCAGAACACATGGTCAATTGGCCATCAGAACACATGGTCCATTGAATAGGCCATCAGAACACATGGTCCATTGGCCATCAGAACACATGGTCAATTGGCCATCAGAACACATGGTCCATTGAATAGGACTGACAATTTTTGTTTATTCTTCATATTGTTTAGTCTACCAAAGAGTAACACGGCCTATTGTACCATCTATTTATTTAGCCGATTGTTCAGGCTACCAAATATATATTCTGCTTAGTGTTTAGTCTACCAAATATTTATTCTGCCAAATTTTCAGTCTAACAATGATTTGTTCTGCCTATTGTGAGTCTAACAATTATTTATTCTGCCAAATTTTTAGTCTAACAATTATTTATTCTGCCTATTGTTTAGTCTGTCAGTGAGAGTGAGAGTAAAAGAAAAGCTCGAGAATTGACAATCAAACTCAAGTCTTTGTTGGCCCGACAGAAATGTGAATGGCAATGTGTGGGAAGGCTAAAGGTAAGACAGGTTGCTGATCATTTCTACAACCCCCCACCCACACACACACACACTCACGGAGGGCCAGATTTTATTCTGACGCCTTCCCGCGCAGATCTACCAGCTTGGCTGAACTTGCCAGGAGTTTACACTCCCGCTGGTATAGCTCTGGGGGTCATGTCAGGAGTTTACACTCTAGCTGGTATAGCTCTGGGGGTCATGTCAGGAGTTTACACTCCCGCTGGTATAGCTCTGGGGGTCATGTCAGGAGTTTACAGTCCTGCTGGTATAGCTGGGGGGGTCATGTCAGGAGTTTACACTGCCGCTGGTATAGCTCTGGGGGTCGTCGGGGTACACAAGCTGCCAAGCCACCACTTGAAATCAACCTCTATTTTCTAGGACCTAACAATGTCTTTTGTAAGACCTAACGATGTATTTTGTAAGACCTAACGATGTATTTTGTAAGACCTAACGATGTATTTTTCTTGGACCTTACACTGTATTTTGTAAGACCTAACGATGTAGTTTGTAAGACCTAACTATGTATTTTGTAAGATCTAACCGTATATTTTTCTTGGACCTAACAAGTGTTATACTATACTACCTACCAAATCAGTACCTCAGTATTTACCATGCAGGGCCTACCAATTTAAAACGAAGGACTACCAATATAAATCATAGGACCTACCCAAATAAAACCTAGGAACTACCAATATAAATCGTAGGACCTACCAATATAAAACGCATAACTCTTTTATCTCTAGGAGACGCTGGCTATGGCCAGGGAAATGAAGAGTGTCCTGAAATTTATTTGCCAGCTTAGCTCTTTGCTAGAAAGGTACGTTCGTAGATTACGGGACATATCTTTCCTTGATCTAGAATTGGCATTAAAGTTGTTTAAGTATATGTGTATGTAAACTGGCCGTAAATATCTGTATCTAAACTGGCCGTAAATATCTGTATGTAAACTGGCCGTAAATATCTGTATGTAGACTGGCCGTAAATATCTGTATGTAGACTGGCCGTAAATATCTGTATGTAAACTGGCCGTAAATATCTGTATGTAAACTGGCCGTAAATATCTGTATGTAAACTGGCCGTAAATATCTGTATGTAAACTGGCCGGAAATATCTGTATGTAGACTGGCCGTAAATATCTGTATGTAGACTGGCCGTAAATATCTGTATGTAGACTGGCCGTAAATATCTGTATGTAGACTGGCCGTAAATATCTGTATGTAGACTGGCCGTAAATATCTGTATGTAAACTGGCCGTAAATATCTGTATGTAAACTGGCCGTAAATATCTGTATGTAAACTGGCCGTAAATATCTGTATGTAGACTGGCCGTAAATATCTGTATGTAGACTGGCCGTAAATATCTGTATGTAGACTGACCGTAAATATCTGTATGTAGACTGGCCTTAAATATCTGTATGTAGACTGGCCGTATATATCTGTATGTAGACTGGCCGTAAATATCTGTATGTAGACTGGCCGTAAATATCTGTATGTAGACTGTCCGTAAATATCTGTATGTAGACTGGCCGTAAATATCTGTATGTAGACTGGCCGTAAATATCTGTATGTAGACTGGCAATTTTTTGTGTAACTACCTCTCCCTTGACAACAAGTACAATTTTGCCAAACCCACCCCTGCCATTGGTGATGCTGTATCAATTCAGGGAAATAGTGTACGAATTTAGTGTTTAAACTCTTCGCAACCTTTTCCTCTGTTTTTGGGAAAGTAGCGTTTTCCTTTTTCTCAAAATGAATAAAGATTGCGACGACGAGATGATATTAGCTCCACTATCATATCTCAGACCTAGACATTCACAAATCCTTAAGCTAAATTTCTCGAGTGGTCCTGGCAGTCAAGCTAAATATCTTTGCCTGTTGCGTCTTCAGCAATACAAAAGCTCTATGAAATATTCCACAAGTTTAAAGTCACAACGGGAAACATCGACAAAGCGCACAATCAGAGGTCGCTGTTTTCTGTGACTAGTATCAATATTTTTTTATTATCCTACTTATCCGACTACTTCGACGAACGATACAAGACATCTCTAATTTCCGTAACTAGCACAATCATCTCGCCTGCTTATTAAAAAAACGTCTACATTGGTTTGAATACAAAAGGGTATCACATTACGTGTTTTCCGAAATTGACACACCGGGTCTAAGGTGGGTGGGTGGCTCACTCAAGTCCACCCATCGCCAGCCACCTCTTTTTTAGGGAATGGCATACAGCCCGACCCAGTAAAGCAATGTCAAACTGGAGGGGGGGGGGGGGCTTTTTGTAGAGCAATGTAAAACTGGATGGGGGGGGGGCTTTTTGTAGAGCAATGTAAAACTGGAGGGGGGGGCTTTTTGTAGGGCAATGTAAAACTGGAGGGGGGGGGGGGCTTTTTGTAGGGCAATGTAAAACTGGAGGGGGGGGGGGCTTTTTGTAGGGCAATGTAAAACTGGAGGGGGGGGGGGCTTTTTGTAGGGCAATGTAAAACTGGAGGGGGGGGGCTTTTTGTAGGGCAATGTAAAACTGGAGGGGGGGGGGCTTTTTGTAGGGCAATGTAAAACTGGAGGGGGGGGGGGGGGCTTTTTGTAGGGCAATGTAAAACTGGAGGGGGGGGCTTTTTGTAGGTCAATGTAAAACTGGAGGGGCTGCTTTTTGTAGGGCAATGTAAAACTGGAGGGGGGGGGGCTTTTTGTAGGGCAATGTAAAACTGGAGGGGGGGGGGGGCTTTTGTAGGGCAATGTAAAACTGGAGGGGGTGCTTTTTGTAGGGCAATGTAAAACTGGAGGGGGGGGGGGCTTTTTGTAGGGCAATGTAAAACTGGAGGGGGTGCTTTTTGTAGGGCACTGTAAAACTGGAGGGGGGGGGCTTTTTGTAGAGCAATGTAAAACTGGAGGGGGGGGGGGCTTTTGTAGGGCAATGTAAAACTGGAGGGGGGGTGCTTTTTGTAGGGCAATGTAAAACTGGAGGGGGGAGGGCTTATTGTAGGGCAATGTAAAACTGGAGGGGGGGGGGGCTTTTTGTAGGGCAATGTAAAACTAGAGGGGGGGGGGCTTTTGTAGGGCAATGTAAAACTGGAGGGGGGGGGGGGCTTATTGTAGGGCAATGTAAAACTGGAGGGGGGGGGGCTTTTTGTAGGGCAATGTAAAACTGGAGGGGGCTCTCACAATGACGGAGGGTGATTAGTGTACGCTCAAGGGCAGCACGCCTTGGGCAGTCAGCTCGGAAAAGAAAAAGAAAAAAAAGCCGACTTTGATACATTTAAAAACTCAATTTTGAAAACAAGATCACACGTCTCAAAAAAGACAAATGGTAACGTGTTGATGAAACACTCGCGTGTAGGACTAGATGGCTTTTCTTTAAAATAGATTAAAAAGCTATTGTATTGGTCAGTACAGAAGATGTAAAACAATTCAAAAACTTTCATTGTGAAATGAATCCAATGACTCTTGAAATGTCTCATAAAAAGCTAGTTAGTTTCTTCATTATTAAATCAATATGTGAAATATTGATAGGACATATTTTGTGTTGCATTTGAACGCTGTTTATCCAACAATCAAAACATTTTGATTAGATTTTGTATTTCTTGAAACTGACGTTATATTAAAAATCAGTCTGTATGCTTCTTCCCTTTCTTTTGGTGTAATGCGTTTAATATGTAGGTTTCTAAATGTATCTTTAACGTCTATTATATTGTGTTCCCTGGCCCAACTAATTCTGGTGTATGAGCAGGGGCGGAACTACAGTGCCGCCAGACCCCGCAATGCGAGGGGCTCAGGCCGTTTAGGGGCCCACAGCCGACCGTAATCAATTTTTTTATAGTTAAAAAAATAATTTTCTTGTAAAAAACAAACAGATCTACCACAGTAGTGATGTTCTACAGTAGCTAACACACGCTATTTCGTAAAGGAAAAAATATATAGGCTACATGAGTTGTAGTGTGAAAGGCAAACGTTCAAACCACTTCCATGACTTATTTCCCTTTTTTAAATAGTCAAATATGTGTGACCTTAAGAAACTTGTAATAGATTTACACTAAACAAATTAAAAAGAAATTATTTCTCTTAATTGTTATTTTTTAAAATACGTAATACAGAATGACATAGTATAAAAAGGAAATGTATTAAAAACTAATAATATAAATTTAAAAAAACCATAAAAATAAACATAAGGCAGAAACCATTTCACTTTCAAAGCTTTCATGCTTCATATTCTATTGACCGCCTTGTAATTTACGAAGCATTATGTCAGAAATTGAAACAGAGAATTTCAAAGCAGACTAATAGCACTCACACAAATCACGTGTTGTTGTAACATGTTTTAATTAAAAATAAAAACTAAGAATTTTTTCTTTTTTTCAAATTTCGAACAAGCCCGTATTGAGTATTCTAAGTTCGTATTTTCGTATTTTGTTTATATATATATATATATATATATATATATATATATATATATATATATATATATATATATATATATATATATATATATATATATATATATATATATATATATATATATATATATATATATATATATATATATATGGGGCCCAACAATTTTTTGCGGGGTGGCCCTTTTTTTTCTAGTTCCGCCACTGTGTATAAGGGATAAGGGTGTCGCTTGTTGTTTGATTAGGATGTCGTATTTTTTTTTGTCTTCCCCAATAATGCTTTTGTTTTCTTGGAATGTTGCCAGCGTTTCTTTATAAAAGCTTCCTATGTCATTTCCTCCACAGTGTGGTGTTGTGATGTTTAATATTAGAATTTCCCCCCCCCCCCCCCCCCCGCATCAGACATGTAATTTACAGCGTCATTTTGTCTTGCATGTTCGCTTTACTATTATAGTTTCCACCATTGGCTTGTGAGGACTGATACAGATTTACAATAGTAATACTTCTTTCTTACTTGTAGCCTACTATCATTCATTTAAGATGGTTTAGTTATACATAGATCTAATACAAAACGTCTAGATATAAAAAAAGAATAAAGAAAATTAGTTTTAGAACGCTCTTACATACCAAAACTTGTGAAAATAAATGCAGATGGAAAGCTGCTCAAAAGGATATAAACACGTAAGCTTAATATGTGCAATGGTTTCTCGCGTATTGTTTATTTTTATGATTTTTAAAATTTTTAATATAAATTTTGAAAACATTTATATTTATAGCTATACCATTGTTTAGTATGTCTAATTTAAATAATAATTCCGAGAATCAATCGCTTTTAAATTTATATAGTACAAAACTATTTAAATAAGCTTTATGGGCACAAGGGCTATAGTGAATGTAATATACCGAGTGATACTGTATTGCGGTGGGGCCTTTTTTGTCTAGTTCCGCCACTGATAAGTGATTGATGGTTTCAGTTTTACTAGCCATTCACTTCCTGTCTATTTGCTGTCTATTCACTTCCTGTCTATTTGATGTCTATTCACTTCCTGTCTATTTGCTGTCTATTCACTTCCTGTCTATATGCTGTCTATTGACTGTTTTTGGTGTTTTGCCACAGGTTTTTTAAAGCTATATTTCTTCAACTGCCTTAGGTTTTACTGACCAGCTGACCATAACTTCTCATCTCACTTCTCATTGGTTGGCTATTCTAAAGGTTCTTACTCCCTCACTTCTCATTGGTTGGCTATTCTAAAGGTTCTTACTCCTACCTCAACTAGTTGACCAATGGCTATCTAACCTACGATTCTCCTTTCTTATCCCACATTTGTCCTGTATTCTTCTGTCCAGATTGAACGAAGGCCCTCCCCCGTATGAAGACAGCAGTCCTTACGATGACCTGCAAATAAAGAGAGACAAGTTTTACGACCGCCATGCTATAGTTGGTAGAGGTAAGGTCTCCCACACATTTCGCACACGTGGGCTTATAAAGAGTTAGCGTTAGAGTTTTAAATGAGGTATATTTTTTTTTTATTTCAGAATGTCGCCAAGGCAGCAGTCGAGCGGCCAAACGATCTCTGAGCGAGGTGACCATTTCATTATCGCTCGACTTTATACCAGACAGAAAGGCTCGAAAACCGAGGTGAGTGACCCAAACTAGTGCACCGTTGCCACTTAATTATGTAGGCCTAAAGTTAATTTGATGCACTTTAACAAAGAGCTTAGTTTAAATGTGAAATGCTTACAAATTTTAAGTAGAGTGTTGCCTGGGATTTGAAACCACATCATTCTTTTGAAATGCTTCGTAGACAACATTAGTTCAGTGGCGTCGTTAGGTCGGGTGTCACCCGGTGCGGCACTTCGTGGTCTCACCCCCCCCCCCAAGAAACACAGTTTATATATATATATATATATATATATATATATATATATATATATATATATATATATATATATATATAAGTTTGCATGTATGTGTGTGTGTGTGTGTCGTCCTACATATAGTGTATAAGCTTTAATCATTTAATCACTGTAGACGTAATAGTAACGATGTTTATCTTTAGTCTGTTAATAATACAGTTGGATGTAGCAATGTTTTCTCTATAGTTAGCACGTTTACGTCATGGTGTCACCCCCAACTTTTTATTATAGTTGTCGATTTGTACATAAAAGACTATTTAACTTTAATTAATCATGAATGGAAGTAGCAGAAAGAACTTTTTCTTCTAAACATGTTGCTATTTTTTTGCCCTGGTGTCACCCACCCCCTAAATGGTTGCACCCTGTGCGGTCCGCACCCACGTCCCGCCCTCGCTACGCCTCTGCATCAGTGTTTCTTCCAGACTTTTTTCTCCGGGGGAAGACACGATATTTTCTGGGGGAGTGGGGGGCTGTCTACTTTTTTCGGGGAAGGGAGGCAGTAGCGTACGCAAGGGGGGAGCACACGTTCCCCCTCTGGTCATTTTCAGCAAAGTGGCGCCTTTTTGGAAACTTTTTAAACTCAAAGTTTTAAAAAAGGATATTTGTTAAAAACTATTTTTGGTCGGCACATCTAAGTAAATCACAAGATTTCTTTTCATGCAGCAATTAAGGGGCTACAACACCGTACTCAGCTTGATTTTTTATTTTATTTTTATTTATTTTTTTCGATTTTTTTTTATTTTTTATTTCTATACATTAACATCTTATTTACCTAATGCCGTCATCGTTTTAGCTGTAAATTGACATTTTCATACATATTTGTGCATTTGAAGAAGGTGTGTGTGCCTGGAAAAATATAAATTTACGGAAAAATGGCCTCCATAAACATGCCTGTAGATTCTTAACTAAGCGACCTAGCCTAGCAAGCCGTATATCAGAATGACCGGCTTGCAATTGCTCATTTAAATAACCTAAATACATTGACCTAGTTTTAAATACTAAAATAGAAATCGCGAGGTGAATGCATGATGGAAATAAGAAAAGCTGTATTCCCATTGGTTACCAGGCGAAGCCATGTTGTAAGTTACTAAAATTAGCTCATGTCAAGGCGACATATGACCGAAATGTAAGCCGTTGCCGAGATACCGGCTATTATTTTGCTCAGCGCATGACTTCCTTTACTCGACACCTGCGAACCTGTGTGCTTCTTTTTAGCGCAATTTCCATTCTGGAGAATTGCGTTTATTAACTCGTCTTTTCTGGAAATGGATGAATGGATGGATGTGTGTCCGCAGCTTTAAGTCGTATCTCCTCCTCAACGAAGCAATATCGAGGACTAGTTCCAAATCAAATATGTTAAGCAAGTTACCAGGATGAATATAGGCCAAAAGCCAAAAAACCTCGAAAAAAAATTCAGTGTTTGGCCCATATCTCGGCAACCAGACCACTTAGCGACGTGAAACATGTACCAATCGATTTCTGCCATAATTTAGAACAACATTGCCGAAGAAAGTTTTTAAAAATATCCTTTCGTTCGGTCACAAAAAATTTTTTTTGAATTAATTAAAATTTGGACCGAATTAGTAGGCATTTTATCCAACCACTCCACACGCGTCATCACGTTCAATAGCTGCGCCATCACGTTCAATGGCTGCGACATCACGTTCGGTAGCTAGGCGCACAATGGTTTTTAGTCATGTTACTCTATTGTAAATAAAACATGTAAAATACTGAAAAAAAATTAATAAAAAAAACGTTTTAATAACTAACCAATGGTTTTACTAACCCTGCTTCTTTGCTCGCTTTTAAGCAACAGATCTTTTCTGTTGTAAATTAAACATTATCAAAACTTTAGAATTGGTGGAATTTAGCTGTTAAGGGCTCGATTTGTTTGTGAATTAATGTTGGTTCATGAAAAACAATTTCGTTCGGGCATTCAAAAGAATTTATAGTGGTATTGAAGGTATGACAAAATGGTTACTTTTATGCCAATAATGGTCATTCATTGGTCTGGAGCCAATATGTCGGGAGTCATTTTGTCAAAAGCCAATATGTCGGGAGCCCAATTGCCTGGAGCCAATATGTCGGGAGCCCATTTGTCGGTAGCCAATATGTCTTGAGCCCATTTATCGGGGGCCCATTTGTCTTGAGTCCTTATGTCGGGAGCCAATATGTCGGAAGCCGCATTGTCGGGAGCCAATATGTCCTGAGCCTATTTGTCAGGGGTTAATATGTCGGGAGCCCATTTGTCGGGAGCCTATATGTCGCAAGTCAATATGACGGGAGCCCATTTGACGGGAGCCAATAAGTCGGGGCCCTTTTGACGGGGCTATTTTGACGGGGTCGGTTTGTCGGGAGTCGATTTGACGGGGTCATATTAACGGGGCCGTTTTGACGGGGCCGATTTGTCCCCGGTCGTTTTGACAGGGCACCAATACAACTGATGTGGCCAGTGGCGTAGCGAGGTCGGGTTCACCCGGTGCGGCACTTAATGGTGTCACCCCCAGAGGCGTAGCGACCCAAATTATATGAAACAGTTACAACCCCCCTCCCCCATGGACCCCTCTGTAAAAAAAATATTGTCATAATACCACTGCTACTTATCTAATATATAAAGCTCAATTCTGTATGTAACATGTAATAAGTTTGTTTATCGTTGACATACTTCTATGGATTTAAGTGTTAGACTATTACCGTGCTCATAGTCTAAATTTATGAGTTTAAAAAATTACTATTGAAAGTGTTGGGAAATAATTTTCATTTTTCAAACTGATATTAATAATTGTCGGCTTGTTCATTAAAAACGATTTTTAAAAAATAACAAAAATTCTAATTATGTCTGAAAATTATTTATATTTAGTCCTTTAGCACTTACTTCCCTTTGATAAATTAGGAAAACACAATTACTTCCCTTTAGAAAACATTGCAGTAGTGGAAAAGAATTTACTTTTTATTACTTTGCTTTGGTGTTGGGAAAAAATAATTACATAATTAGCGGGGATTGATCAAATGCAAATGTTGTAGGTATTTTACGAATAAGCCTGGAGTATTATAATTGTTCATTTGGTTTGGTTTGGCACCTTCGTTCGTTTAAGTGAGTGCAAAAGACTATGAATAAGTTGGGGTACTATAGTCGATTATTAAGCTGAAACAGGCAATTCTGCCCCGGGCTAGACTGTGAGCACTTTGCGTTTATGTTCGCGTTAGTGTTTTCTTTGTGTTTAGGTTGGGTTTGCGTTAGTGGTTGCGTTTTGATTTGTTTTTGTTCTTTCTTTTTTCGTTTTCGTTTGTGTTTGTTTTTCTTTGGGTTTGTGTTTGTATTTGTGTTTGTGGTTGGTTTTGCGTTTGGATTTGGTTTGTTTTCGTTTGCTTTTTCGTTTGTGTTTTTTTCTTTGGGTTTGTGTTTGTGGTTGGTTTTGCGTTTGGATTTGTTTTGTTTTCGTTTGCTTTTTCGTTTGTTTTTTTTGTGTTCGTATTGGTGGTTGTGGTTGTGGTTGGGTTTGTTGTTAGGTTTTTGTTTTCGTTTGCTTTTTTGTTTGTTTTTTCTTTGTGTTTGTATTGGTGTTTGTGATTGTGGTTGGGTTTGTTGTTAGGTTTTTGTTTTTTGTTTTCGTTTGTATTTGTAATTGTGTTAGCTTTATGTTTGCCTTTTGTTGTTTTGGTTGGTTGTGGTTTGGGTGGGTAATGCCGGGTTTATGATGATTACCAAACACACAGGTAATGGTCTTTAACAGAAAGATTTTTCACAGAAGCCAGAGCAGGGCCTGGCCGGGACGGCTAGTTTAAATCTATTTCTGTAATATATATTTGTGTAATATAAATTTGTGTAATATATATGTATGTTTAGAACAGTCATCTAAAAACTGTTCACTCTGAGTTGGTTATCTCCCCCCCCCCCCCACACACACACACACCTCACCACCACAATTGTGTCATCATCATCATCATCATTCCTTTATGGCCCCTGGGGAGCAAAGGGCTGCAACCACACATCTCCAGCTGACTCGGTTTTGGGCTGCTCCTCTAATCTGTGCCAATGAGAGCCCAGCTGTTTTTGCCTCCTCCTCAACCGTTCGCTTCCATGTTTTCTTTGGCCGGCCCACCCTCCTTTTCCCCTGGGGATTCCAGTCCAACGCATGTTTTGCGATGTTTTCTTTTTCTTTTCTTAACGTGTGTCCGATCCATCCCCATTTTCGGGCCTTAATACCTTGTTGATACGGCATTTTATGTCCTCGTCTGCTCCCCCGTCCTTATTGATCACGCTTCCCAGATATGTGAATGTGTTTGTTTCTCGTAAATCTTCTCCATTTAGCTGTATCGGCAGGTCCTGGCTGTTATTGATTCTATTGACCTCTGTTTTGCTTTTATTTATTTTTAGTCCAATTTTGTAGGCTTCTTCAGACAGCCGATTTAGTTTGGCTTGTGCATGTTGATGCTTATGAGATAGTAGGCAGATGTCATCGGCAAAATCAAGATCCTCCAACCTTTTTGTGAAACTCCACTGGATTCCTGTGTCGTTTTTTGTGGCCCTCAGCATGATCCAGTCGATTACCATCAAGAATATCATTGGCGATAGCATACATCCCTGTCTTACTCCCGTCGTCACCGTGAATGGTTTTGTTAGCTTTCCCTTGTGTATTACCTGACTGGTGGAGTCTTCATATAGTTTCTGTGTGATAGATATAATTTTTTTGGGTATTCCATAGTGGCTCATTAACTTCCAGATAGCATCTCTATTCACACTGTCAAACGCCTTTTCGAAGTCGACAAAGGTCATGTATAAGGGGGATTGCCACTCAAGGGACTGTTCGATAATGATGCGCAGCGTGGCAATGTGGTCAGTACATGACCTGTCCTGACGAAAACCAGCCTGTTCTTGTCTCAGCTTTTTGTCTAAGGCATCTCTAAGTCTCTCTATGATGATTCTTGTCAGCACCTTACTTGGAACTGAAAGAAGCATTATCCCTCTCCAGTTGTTGCATTGTGTCAGGTCTCCCTTCTTTGGCAGTTTTATCATGTATCCCAGTTTCCAGTCAGATGGGATTATCTCTTCTTCCCAAATCTGCTTAAGTAGAGGATGTAGTATGTCTGCTGATATGGCTGGGTCTGCTTTGAGTGCCTCTGGTGGGATGCCGTCCGGGCCAGCTGCTTTGCCATTTTTCATGCTTTTTATTGCTCTTATTGTTTCTAACTTTGTGGGTGGATCTGTACACACATCTAGTAGGTGATTTGCAGGTGGTATATCCGGGATGTTTGATGAGAGAGGATGGTTTAAAATCTCATCAAAGTGCTGTACCCATCTGTCTCTCTGTTCTGTGTCACTTGTTAAGATATTTCCTACTTTATCCTTTACTGGTTTGTTGGGATTAATGTTCTTACCTGATAGTGTCCTGGTTATCTCATAAAGCCTCTTCATTTTTTCTTGTCATGCCGCAGTTTCTGCCTCCTCTATCATCTCCTGTATGAACTGTCTTTTATCTTCTTTTGCACTTTTCCTGACCATGCGATTTACTTCACAATAATGTGTTCTGAGGTTTATTTTCTCTTTTTCATCCTTACATTTGTTAATCTTCTGCTTTATCTCTTTTCTATCTTCAATTTTGGCCCATGTCTCTGTTGTGATCCATTCTTTTTGTTCATTTTCTCTTCTCCCCAATATGTCAGTGCATGTTGACTTCCATAGTTCCTGTATTCCTAGCCATTTTTCCTCTACTGTATCCTCTGCCAGGCTGGAGAGTGCTTCATACCTATTTTTTACTGCGCAGTTAGTCTTCCTTTATTTTTGGACACCTAAGAAATGTTGTATTGAATTTAAAGTGCGGCTTATCAGCTCGATCCCTGTAGGATTTTAGTTTTAATTTTAGTATTGCAACCACGAGTTGGTGGTCTGATGCTGCATCTGCACCTCGTTTCGCCCTAACATCCATTAAACTTCTTCTCCACTTTCTGGAAACTGTGATGTGATCAATTTGGTTTTTTGTTTTGCCATCGGGTGACGTCCAGGTGGTCTTATGTATATCTTTATGAGAGAAAATTGTCCCCCCCCCCCCCTATAATTAGATCATTAAATGCGCAGAAATCAGCAAAGAGTTCCCCGTTTTCATTTATTATGCCTATTCCATTTTTCCCCATTGTTAGCTCCCGTTCTTTATTTTCTGTTCCAACTTTGGCATTCATGTCTCCCATTACTATCTTTATATCTCTTGTAAGTGATTTGTCGATTTGAGCCTGCAGGGCGCTGTAGAAGTCCTCTTTCTCTTCATCTGTTGCAGCATTTGTTGGTGCATAGCACTGGATTAAAGTTGTTTTCCTTCCCTTGGCATTGAAACGAGCTGCTATAAGTCGTGGTGAGACTGGCTCCCATGCAATCAAAGCATTTGTTGCTTCTGGAGACATCATTATGGCTACACCTTGGAACTTGCTTAACATATTTGCTTTGGAACTAGTCCTAGATATTGCTTCGTTGAGGAGGAAATACGACTTAAAGCTGCGGACATCCATCCATCCATCCATCCATCCATCCATCCATCCATTCCCAGAAATGACGAGTTAATAATCGCAATTCTCCAGAATGGAAATTGCGCTAAAAATGATCTTTAAAGAACACAAAGAAGCAGTAGTTAATTAAAAATATATGATCTGAACTAAAACACCGATGTATAGTTAAATGTAGGCTGTTATTTTGTTCAAGAAAATGTTTACAATCGTAGAGCCGGTCGATCTAGTGAAGGCTGTCAGGGGCAGATAAAAAAGTTTTTAAACAATTTAAAACCATGAGGGGGTAACAAGATTAAGAACTTGCTGTCGTCTGTAAAATATGGTCACGGGCGGTTGCTTTCACGGGGCACATAATCGTATTTTAGATATCGCTAGCAAATATTTTAGTCGTGTCGAGTTCATATATTAGGAATCACTAAAAAGTGTAAAAATAACGCAAATATAAAAGACCTTTATAGCAACAAGCTTTTAAATGCACAGAAAATAAGAAAATAAAACGTATTTGCTTTCTATAAATTAAAAGCTTTTGTCGCTAAAATATGTAAAATATCTCATAAGCGACCAATGCTTTTATTAAAAATAGCAAATTAGTTTTTTTATTTTCTTATTTTAAGTGCATTTAAAAGCAGAGACATAGCGAGGGGTGGGCGGGGGGACATATGTCCCCGGGCGCCGACCTTAGGGGGCGCCAAAATGGGTTGGAAAAATAAATTGAAAGCTTGAGGGGGGGTGCAAATCGAAAGTTTGAGAGGGGGGGGTGTAAATCGAACGTTTGTCCCCGGGCGCCGGGAAGGGTCGCTACGTCTCTGTTTAAAAGTTTGTTGCCAAAAACGTGTTGTTTTTTTTTATGTTTTATTTAAAAACGGGAGGGACGACGACATTTGAAATTTGTATTTATTTCTATATAAATTATACTTCGTTGGGGGGGGGGGGGCGGAAGACGGTTTTTTGTGGGAGGGGGGGGGGGCGGGGCTCCACCACCCCGAAGATATGCCTGGAAGAAACTCTGGCCCCCGAACTATGGTTAATGTGGCCCTCGGGCTGAAAAGTTTGGACATCCCTGGTTTACAGTAACGAATGTTAACGAAACTCAACAAACATTACCGGATAATTTCCGACGCTAAATCATGAGATTACCTCTATTCGATCGATCAGAAGGGCGCGTTACGACCAATATTGGAACGAAAAAGATCGATAGCATAAATTCGCGATGTAAAGCACTCCCGTTTATTAAAACGAGCCGGCCCGCGGCATAACATACGCCGCTATTTAGTTGTTTCTAATTTTCAATAATTCATAATTTGTGAATTCGACAGTACCAACGCTGACACTGAAAATATTTCTTTAAAACACTATAAGTAGCTCGTTAAGGACCATAAACCCCCCCCCCCCCCCCCCTTCCTCCCCCCCCCCCCTACGTTTAAAATCGTTGGCTCTGTATGTAAACATTTAGAGTGAACACAGCTCACTAAAACCATGCAGGGGTGGGGAGGTAGGGAGAGCGTTTGCAGCTTGTTTTCTAACGGCTCGAAGAGGAGAATTATATATATAGATAATCGACAGCTTGAACCGGAAAGAGATTTAATAATTTCAAAACAAAGGGTCATTTCCCGGAAAATATTGGATTGGTTGTGAATTTTATACCGGGTTTTACATCGGCCGATTGTATCGGCCGCCACATTACGGAACGGGACTTGCCAGTGGCGTAGCCAGGATCATCTCATATATATATATATATATATATATATATATATATATATATATATATATATATATATATATATATATATATATATATATGTACACTAGCTGCATACCCGTGCTTTGCTACGGTGTGGATATGGGTACTACCTCAGAGTTTACCGCGCTGCGCTCAAATGGGGGCACCTGCATCGGGGCGGATACTCCATCAGCGCACCGGGTATCGTTAGCACTTTGATGTCCACCGCCCCCCCCCCTCAAACTTTCGATTTGCACCCCCCCCTTCAAACTTTCGATTTGCACACCCCCTCCCCTCAAACTTTCGATTTGCACACCCCCTCCCCTCAAATTTTCGATTTGCACCCCCCACTCAAACTTTCAATTTGTTTTTCGAACCCATTTTGGCGCCCCCTAAGGTCGGCGCCCGGACATATGTCGTCGTTAAACATAAGCTAGTGTAAACAGTCTAAATTTATTTGGTAGGAAGGGTGTGGAATTGTTATGTCGGGGACGGTCGACTAAAAAGTAAACAAACATCACTTCAAGAAAACTGTAATGATATATTTTAGCGCGCACATTGCTTGTTAATTATATATTTTCCTCAATTATCGGAGTAGACGAGCAGCAGTCGAAGTCAGCGTGAGTGAGTCTGAATGTCTGCTTATCAAGACTGCCAGCAACTGTAGGAAGAAAAAGCTTTCAAAAGGCAGGAGTTCTAGGTAAGTTGGTGATTTATTCAGGTGAGTTCTAGGTAAGTTGGTGATTTATTCAGGTGAGTTCTAGGTAAGTTGGTGATTTATTCAGGTGAGTTCTAGGTAAGTTGGTGATTTATTCAGGTGAGTTCTAGGTAAGTTGGTAATTTATTCAGGTGAGTTCTAGGTAAGTTGGTGATTTATTCAGGTGAGTTCTAGGTAAGTTGGTGATTTATTCAGGTGAGTTCTAGGTAAGTTGGTGATTTATTCAGGTGAGTTCGTAATATATTTTAGTGAGTTGATAATCTATGAAGATGTGTTGGTGATTTGTTTTGATGAGTTGGTGAAAAAAGTTATATCCTCAATATTAATTACATTTGAGCTTAGTTCCTTGTTGTTGTTTAGCCGGGTTTGATAGGTCTTGATATTGACTTGTATGTTTTCAGTTTGGTTTCCATGTCCGACCACGCCAGGCGGCACAATGGCCGGCGCCCCTCTAATAGCGCCTGTACGTCACCTAGATGTGCCAGGACATGCACGTCACGTGGTTCCTCTCCCACGCGCCATAGATGGCCTTCGCTCAAAGACTTGAGCTCACCAATCAAGTGCAAAACTTCAAGCGAAACGGAGCGAAGGCCGTCCACACACAGACATGCGACGAAATGTTTGAGTGTCTGCAAGTGCTGCAAGATTGTCAAAGAACTGTGTGCGGGTCGGTGCAAAAAGTCGAAGCTGATCAACAATCTAGCGTCGAGCAAATCTCACTCGGCTAAAACCTCCCGGGCCAAAAAATCCTGCGTCAAAAGTAGTCCTACCCTCTCCGATATTGAGGGCTCCCAAAATCTTTCAACTAGTGAACAGGAAACACAGAGGGAACCAAAGAAAAGGTCAAAAACTAACGACAAGCACAAAAAACTATCAGCAACGGGACGGTACCGTAAAGAATCCAATAAGTGCGCGCACAGACAAGTATCGTCTGCCACACCAGCGGGCTCGTGCAGCAAATATTACATGCACCCAAGAGCAGCCGTGGACTCGTCGGGCTCCAGAGAACCGTTACTCTACTCCTCCAGAGACACGGAGCTTAACTTTAAGGACGACCACCTCTCATTTCACTACCGAGGTCCGTCTCACCAGGATGGCGGCCCGTCCAGCGCTGCGTGTGAGCAAGAGACAAGTTCAAGGTCAGTACACACGCACTGTATACGTCACTGGTGGCTGGCCTGCAACTTTTATCTATTACCTCAAATAATCCTTTACTCCCAGGGTTCCCGAAGATCTCATCTCCTCCCCCCCCCCCCCCACCAGAGGTTCCCGTACATCCCATCTCCCCCCTCCCATGGCTTAACGCAGATCCCAATGAGTATACTTTATCTGATCTTCAGCCGGTCTTTGCTCAGTGGCATTTGCACTGCTCTTATATTGAGATCTACAAATTAGTTGTGCTTTTTACTCACATAAAAATGAGTAGCTTCCATTTCCCATCATAAAATGGAGACCGTTACTAAATTCTCGTGGAACTGTTGCTTCCTAATTTGCCAGGAGCATAGCCATTTCACCTCCACCATCCCCCCCCCCACTCCACACACACACACACACACACACACAATCTTCATGTTTGTTTTTCCCCCCTCAGACAAGAGAGTACCAAAACGTGCGAGGATGACAGTAGTTGTACGGCCTGTGACGTAGATGACATTCAGGATAGCTCATCTTCTGAGGCTAGGTAAACTTTTAATCTATGCCCACTCTCATTGCTCTCTTTCCATCTATATCATAAGGTAAGCGTTGGCGGGTTACCTCAGGGTGTTACCTCAGGGTGTTACCTCAGGGTGTTACCTCAGGGTGTTACCTCAGGGTGTGATTGAACCTGGTCCCGCTACTGGTTATGGGCTTTCAATAAACCTTTTCATTTCTTTCGTAATATTTAGTGGAACAAAGCGTGACGTCACTGATCCAAAAAAATTCTTGTTCAAAATAGCCTTTGTTTTAGGTGCAGCTTCTGTTGAGAAAAAGAAGCGAGAACAATTTTTGTTTCTGAATGTGAATTTATATAATAACTACTTGTGAAGAGAAGTTAGTCTGTAGCTCGTAGTTACAATTATTAAAATCGTGGGAAATTAATTTATAGCTGTCTGAAACGCAGTAGGTTAAAGGAAAGATAAAGCGGTGTCGAAAGGGGAGGGGCGGGATGAACTGCGGTATTTATCTTGTGTGTAGTTTGTCCTCATGGGGAGAATGGGTAGTTTAAAACAGCACTTTTATTTTTCCCCAAATCGTAAATTAGTAAGGGAGAGAAAAAATAGAATCTCCTGGCGACCAAAGACAAGAACAGTCATAGCAAAAAGAAGAATTTAAATAATAAACCGGGAGTGGTCTCCCATAAACTTTCACGAATATTCTTATATAAAACTACGGGGATAGCAACTCGGGATATAGACATGATTTTTAATCCACTTTTACTTTCTCGTATACAAAGTATAGAGAATATATATATATATATATATATATATATATATATATATATATATATATATATATATATATATATATATATATATATATATATATATATATATATATATATGGCGCCTTTTTTTCGACTAGCCGCTCCCCCTAACCCGAAAATCTGTATAGGTCTCTGTATGTGTGTGCATGCGTGCAAGTTTATGAAGGGTTATTAACATGCAAGTTTTAATTTTGGCATGATATCTTATGATTGACACCATATGTTTGTGTTTGACTAGTGAGATGAAATGTTCTGAGCCAGCATCCTGCACCTCTCGCTATACACCAGAGGAGAGCAAAGATGTTTGCGAAGACAACAGGTCAGACTTGTCCCATCACTAGCCCTTACCCACCTGTCCATACAGCACTATCCCACCTGTCCATACAGCACTATCCCACCTGTCCATACAGCACTAACCCACCTGTCCATACAGCACTAACCCACCTGTCCATACAGCACTAACCCAACTGTCCATACAGCACTAACTCACCTGTCCATACAGCACTAACCCACCTGTCCATACAGCACTAACCCAACTGTCCATACAGCACTATCCCACCTGTCCATACAGCACTATCCCACCTGTCCATACAGCACTATCCCACCTGTCCATACAGCACTAACCCACCTGTCCATACAGCACTAACTCACCTGTCCATACAGCACTAACCCACCTGTCCATACAGCACTAACTCACCTGTCCATACAGCACTAACCCACCTGTCCATACAGCACTAACTCACCTGTCTATACAGCACTAACTCACCTGTCCATACAGCACTAACCCACCTGTCCATACAGCACTAACCCACCTGTCCATACAGCACTAACTCACCTGTCCATACAGCACTAACTCACCTGTCCATACAGCACTATCCCACCTGTCCATACAGCACTAACCTACCTGTCCATACAGCACTAACTCACCTGTCCATACAGCACTAACTCACCTGTCCATACAGCACTAACCCACCTGTCCATACAGCACTAACCCACCTGTCCATACAGCACTAACCCACCTGTCCATACAGCACTAACCCACCTGTCCATACAGCACTATCCCACCTGTCCATACAGCACTAACCCAACTGTCCATACAGCACTAACCCACCTGTCCATACAGCACTATCCCACCTGTCCATACAGCACTATCCCAACTGTCCATACAGCACTAACCCACCTGTCCATACAGCACTAACCCACCTGTCCATACAGCACTAACCCACCTGTCCATACAGCACTATCCCACCTGTCCATACATCACTAACCCACCTGTGCATACAGCACTAACCCGCCTGTCCATACAGCACTATCCCACCTGTCCATACAGCACTATCCCAACTGTCCATACAGCACTAACCCACCTGTCCATACAGCACTAACCCACCTGTCCATACAGCACTATCCCACCTGTCCATACAGCACTATCCCAACTGTCCATACAGCACTATCCCACCTGTCCATACAGCACTAACCCACCTGTCCATACAGCACTATCCCACCTGTCCATACAGCACTAACCCACCTGTCCATACAGCACTAACCCACCTGTCCATACAGCACTAACCCACCTGTCCATACAGCACTAACCCACCTGTCCATACAGCACTATCCCACCTGTCCATACAGCACTATCCCAACTGTCCATACAGCACTAACTCACCTGTCCATACAGCACTAACCCCCCTGTCCATACAGCACTAACCCACCTGTCCATACATCACACCGAACTTGTCACACATCACACTGATTTAGTCACACATCACACTGAACTAGTCACACGTTACACATCACACTGAACTAGTCACACACCACACTGAAATAGTCACACATCACACTGAACTAGTCACACATTACACTGATTTAGTCATACAACACACTGAACTAGTCACACATCACACTGAACTTGTTACATATTACACTGAAGTAATTACACAAATGACATATCACACTAAACAGTCACTTAGACATTTGACATTCAAATGGTAGCCAGTTATTTTACTCAGCTAAAAGTCTCACTGTAGTAAATAATAAATTCTGCCCCCATCATTCTCTCTCAAACTCTTTCACTCCTATATTTCAGCTTGTCTTTCCTAGTCAAGTTGAATGAAGAGAATAGTCGACATTTCTCTCCAAATTCTCCGAAAAAACATCCTTTAAAGGTTGAAAAATGCCGGTCACCGCCCAAATTCTCACTTCCCCTTACTCAGTCTTGTCCTACAAAAAGCGACATTGAAAATGGAACACAAACTGAGCAAGACATTTTTTTAGCCAATCAAATGCCATGTCCTAATATGATTCAAGTGTCAACAAAATGGCGTGGCACCCCGCCAGGTCAGTGCTGTGAACAACCCTCCATTGAAACAATTATCAAGCTCTCGATGCCAGACTCCTGTAACCAGGCACCACAGACGACCCAGATCCCCAAACCTTCGAGCCGGAAATCATCAGGGTATTCAAGCAGAAAGTCAGTACCGGAACTAGCTCCACAGTCATCGTCTGAATCTATTAGAGAATTACCAGAATGCCCTAGAAGTCCTTCGCCAGAATGTCGCAGGAGCCCTTCGCCTGGATGTAAAAGATCCGATTCGTGTACAGGAAGCCCATCCCCCATTATTCTCAGATCTCCTTCACCCAAACACAGCGTTGGAACTTCGCCAATACAAATTAAAAGTCCCTCACCCAAACACAGCGTTGGAACTTCGCCAATACAAATAAGAAGTCCTTCACCAAACCCATCTGTAAAGTACGCAAGTCAATCTCCAGCAGCGACCCAAACTCCTAAGTCTAGCAGTCCTGCATCTAGAAAGAGTCCGCTGTCTCCTATTTCTCCAGTAGAAAGCAGACAAATTTCAGAAAAATTCTCAAAAAAACCTTCCTTGAGGTCGAGTGATCCATCTTTGACGTTGCCTACCGCGAGCAAAATGCCGTCCAATACAGGTAGTGGCAACCGTCTAGAGTTGCTGGGGGACGAGAGTAGGGAACAGCTGATAGACGACGAAAGTAGGGAACAGCTGATAGACGACGAGAGTGGAAATAAAGAAATGTTTCTAGATGAACCAACTTCCTCACAACTATCTATCGAACAAAATGAAATTATTTCCAGTCATTCAAACACAAATTCTGTCGGAAACAATTCAGAACGTGATTCGCCAATTGCTTCAGAAAAGCCATCACCTGTCCATACCAAGCAATCTTCGACTACAAATAGTCCAAGTCGGCCGAAATCTTCTATAACAAATAGTCCAAGTCGGCCGAAATCTTCTATAACAAATAGTCCAAGTCGGCCGCCATCTTCTATAACAAATAGTCCAAGTCGGCTGCCATCTTCTATAACAAATAGTCCAAGTCGGCCTCCTTCGAGGAAAAACACTATAAGATATACGCCTTCTCCCGTAAAAACTCCGTCCCCTTCCCCCGTAAAAACCCCATCCCCTTCTCCCGTAAAAACCCCGTCCCCTTCTCCCTCTAAAACTCCGCCAAAGAAAGCCCGAGCAAGCTCTGAGAAAAAAAAAATGCGATCCCCACGAGAGGAGAGTAGCGAGGACAGTGAAGAGATGGACCCGTCACGGGAGACCTCTAGAACAGCTTCCCCAGAAAGGTGATCTAATAGACGGCTGTGTCACCATCAGCAGTGGCGGTGATACATTGCTTGATATTGTGGGTGGGCTAATTAATGGGTCAGTGGGTGGGCTAATTAATGGGTCGGTGGGTGGGCCAATGGTTCGACGGATGGCAGTTTCTTCCAGGCATCTCTTCGGTGGGGCGGAGCCCCCTCCCCCCATCCGAAGAAAGTCTACCACCCCCCTAACCCCTCGGGGAAAAAAGTCTGGAAGAAACATTGACGGATGGGTTGATTGATATATCGGCGGGTTGTCTGATTAATGGGTCGGTTTGTTGTTAAATGGGTCAATGAAAGAAACAATGTAGAAAACCCTCCTTTTAAATGATGCAATGAATGACAATCACAATACCTATCACGTGAAATTGTGTAGGTCAAGCCGTGTTGAAGAATTAACAGAGGAGCCTCAAGCTATTCCACCACCACCCCCACAACAGACTTGGCAAAACTCCCTCAGAGGTAAGTTTTGGTTGAAATGTTTGAGAGATTCAGTCAACATTAAGGCCATATTTTCATATTGCGCTTGTATTTATTTGGCCGTAATAAACACCAGTTGTGCAGCCGTTGTATACATAAGCTCATTATAATAATTATTAAACCACTTTTGTTTTAATAAATAAAACATTCATTGTTTTGTTTTTGTTTCATAAGCAGAGTTTCTTCCAGGCATCTCTTCGGGGGGGCGAAGCCCCCCCGAAAATTTTTTACCGCCCCCCCGAACAAAATGAAATTTATATAATTTATATAGAAAATATATACTTTTAACAGTGTCCGCCCCCCCGAAGAAAGTTTACCGCCCCCCCCGAAGATTTCAAGTGCCCCCCCGGAGAAAAAAGTCTGGAAGAAACACTGTTCATAAGAGACTTTTATGCCACAATTCACTAAAAAGGAGAAATTAAATTCCTTTCTGTAAATATAAATTAGATATAGACTCTACCACTATTTATATCACTATAAAGAAAATCGTGAACACTATATTATCTATAGCTTATAGGATACATTTTTATAATATTTAGGAAGAGACCCACGCTATTCTTTGTAAAGTTATTTAAATTGTATATTAATGAAAGTGATTTATTTTCTCCTTTTTACTTTCTCGTATATACGAAGTATAGAGAAAGTATTGTAATCGTGCAAAAAAAAAAAAATCGAGATTTTTACAAATCTCGACGTTTTACACCTCACTGATACGGAAAAACATAATTTTGCAATCTTGTCCGTATGTCTGTGTGTGTGTGTGTCTGTCCGTGTGTAAACACGATTACTTGAGTACCGTTACAGCTAGGTTGATGAAATTTCATATATAAGTATTTTATCAAAATCGTAGAACCGTATCAACTTTAGAGCGATTTCCGATAACCGGAAGTGGAACTTTTTCTACTTTGAATTTTTCAAAAGCCTATAACTTGAGTACTACTTCAGATAGATAAATGAAATTTCACATGTTTTTGTAAGTAAAAGATCTAATTCTCTACCTTCTGTTAAATTTTGAGTAATTTCCGTTGACCGGAAGTAGTAATTTACGCTACTTCCGATTTCTCAAAAAACTAATGTAAATTTTTAGAGTACTAATAATATTGCGCACTATTATGCACTTTTTTATTTGGCGTTCACTTGGTGTGCAATTCTTTTGTCTACGAGATTTTATTCTATTTTTATAACTTTAAGTATTTAAAATCATGTCTACAGCCCGAGTTTCCATCCCGTTATTTTATATAACAATATTCGAGAAATTTTTGGGGAGATCACTCCCGGTTTATTTTTTTTTAGTGAATTATTACACGAAAGCTTGTTTTAAAACGTTTTTATGTATTTTTATTTACTATATGCATGTCTTCCGCCATAGAAACCATTTGAGCTTTATATTATAGGCAGTGGCGTAGCGAGGTCGGGCGTCACCCGGTGCAGCACTTAATGGTGTCACCCCCCAGAGGCGTAGCGACCCTTCCCGGAGACCAACTTTCAATTTGCACCTCTTACGACACCAATTAACACTCGAATTAATCACTTAAGTGGAATTATCATTTTTCTCTATATGTTTTGCTATTTTTGCCTTGGTGTCATCCCCCTAAATGGTGTCCGGTGCGGTTCGCACCCCCTGCCACGCCTCTGATTATGGGCCTGGTATGGACGGTAGATTTAGTTATTAGAGTTAGAGCCTTTGTTTCGTTTATTGTAGTGTTTGTTAGCCGTATGTGGCTTTGTATTTTACATGTTTATGCGTTTGATTGTATTCACATGTGCTTTTGTGATCACAATCTTTTTTTTTAAAGCCAATCATCAACAGTTAAAAGCATTAGTTAATGAACTCACTGCCCCACAATTAGTACTGGATACAACCGACCTATTGATTTAGACGTTTATTTTTTAACTTTCCAGAAGGTTGGACAAGTTGGTGGAAACTAATCCTCCTAATTCTACTCATCATCTTCGTCCTACACTTCCTGTATTGCTACCTGGTAGCAGCTAGCTGTAGGAATTGCCGGCTCCCTGGGCCTAACATCCTCTTTTACTTCCTAAGCTGGGCCATGAACTCAGTACGTGTGATACACAACCAGCCACCCCCACAGTAGTCAGCTGACCACAACACGTGATGCTGTGGATGGTAACTTAACGTCATCGCAGTCCATATCTTGTACTGACATAATAAGCATTCTTTTTATTCTTCGCTTTATTACTTTTTAATAAACATATATTTCACACATGGACCTTGTTGCCAGTGGGTTACTTTCGTTAATCGTAATTATATAGCAATTTCAGACAGCCCATACCCTTCAAGTTCAAGGACACATCTAAAAAAGTTGAAATCTCAAACATTTCATTATTATCTTACATGCACTGCACTAGGGAGACAAAATCTGTTGGTGAGTGAAAAAATCTCAATAGAAAAGCTCTGCACAATATAATTGAATGTGAGGTTTGTGTAGCAATGATTGAAAGCTAGCACCCTAGATAAAAGGACTGACTAAAACTTGTGCATTAAAGGCAGGGAATAAACTGAAACATTCTGTCCTACTAATGCTTGTGCTACTTACAAAAACCCTCTCACCAATCTGGAGCCATATACTGTCAAATATTTCATACAAGGGCAACTCAGTTCCATTTTTTTTATTGAATCATTTCAACCATTTTATAGTTCCACCAGTTGAAAATTGCTTGTACCCCTAGTACACAAATCTTGAACATGCATTAAAAAAAATTAAAGAGTCCTAGATAAAAGTTGTCAACAAATTTGATTTACCAGTTTTTTTGATAATGGTTATAATGACAAACTGGAATATTTGAAGACATGAGAACCATACACTACACATAATTGTATGATGAATACATAGGATCTGTTCATTAGATGATCTCTAGCTAGCACAAGCCATTGGAATCATTAGATGATCTCTAGCTAGGAAAGCAGCTACAGATAAAAGTTAATTGAACAGGACAATGGACTCAAATGTATGAAAGATATAAAAATAAGACATCATTTCATTGGTGCTTTATGGTAAATACAAATAGAATAACTTACAGTACAGTATATAATACATACAAAGTGAATCAGATATGGACCATGCACAAAAGTTGCAGATGTCATAATGAAACTATTCCACCCAGATCTTAACACTAAACCTACTTGTTTGCATGCAAATGTTCAAAGAAAATAATTAGCTCTGACCCCATTCAGGTGAGCTGTATGAACAAAATGTTCTAGTCATTTGGCACTGAGCTCAGCCAGCCCTTGCTAGAGCACACTCTGGCCCATGTATCTGTTGTAACCTGTCATTACAGTTTAATAAAGACAATGCTTGCACCCCCCACCCCCCTATTAATACAATCTTATGGTGGTTGATTATGTAGACAATGTAGCTAATGATTATAATAGTGACAAGGAAACTTGTCAAACAAAACTGCCCTAACATGTCCTGTTTTATTCACGCATTTTAATATGGACTGTACCATTATACAGACCACTAATAAAAGTTATTTCAGCCCACTTTTTCAAACTACTGGCATAAGAAAATGCCACAACAAGGTGTTAACATGTTAAAGTGTATTGTACACAATGAAGAGTAGGAAAAAAAGTTACATTTCGTCATTGATTTCAAGTTCTATACTCTAACTTGTATATCAGATTTAAAGAATGAGGCACTTCTTCTTCTTGGGGGGTTCAGGGGGCTCAAGTGCTGCTAAGATTGCTTCATCAAACACATTTTTTAGCCCTTTCTGAAAAAAAAATGTAAACACATTTATCCTCACCAGTTCTATAGGTAAGACTTTAGTTCTACAGGTAAGACTAGTTCTATAGGTAAGACTTTAGTTCTACAAGTAAGACAAGTTCTATAGGTAAGACTTTAGTTCTACAAGTAAGACAAGTTCTATAGGTAAGACTTTAGTTCTACAAGTAAGACTTTAGTTCTACAGGTAAGACTTTAGTTCTACAAGTAAGACTAATTCTATAGGTAAGACTTTAGTTCTACAGGTAAGACTTTAGTTCTACAAGTAAGACTAATTCTATAGGTAAGACTTTAGTTCTACAAGTAAGACAAGTTCTATAGGTAAGACTAGTTCTACAAGTAAGACTAGTTCTACAAGTAAGACTAGTTCTACAAGTAAGACTAGTTCTACAAGTAAGACTAGTTCTACAGGTAAGACTAGTTCTATAAGTAAGACTAGTTCTACAGGTAAGACTAGTTCTATAAGTAAGACTTTAGTTCTACAAGTAAGACTAGTTCTATAGGTAAGACTAGAGGTAAGACTTTAGTTCTACAAGTAAGACTAGTTACATAGGTAAGACTTTAGTTCTACAAGTAAGACTAGTTCTACAGGTAAGACTTTAGTTCTACAGGTAAGACTTTAGTTCTACAGGTAAGACTTTAGTTCTACAGGTAAGACTAGTTCTACAGGTAAGACTAGTTCTACAGGTAAGACTTTAGTTCTACAGGTAAGACTTTAGTTCTACAGGTAAGACTTTAGTTCTACAGGTAAGACTTTAGTTCTACAGGTAAGACTTTAGTTCTACAGGTAAGACTTTAGTTCTATAGGTAAGACTTTAGTTCTACAAGTAAGACTAGTTCTATAGGTAAGACTTTAGTTCTATAGGTAAGACTTTAGTTCTACAAGTAAGACTAGTTCTATAGGTAAGACTTTAGTTCTACAAGTAAGACTAGTTCTATAGGTAAGACTTTAGTTCTACAAGTAAGACTAGTTCTATAGGTAAGACTTTAGTTCTATAGGTAAGACTTTAGTTCTACAGGTAAGACTTTAATCTAAAAGTAAGTTAGGGTTTAGTTCCATGAGTAAGACTAGTTACGCAAGTAAATCTTTAGTTCTATAACTGAATAAGTAAGACTATTTCTAACAGTAAGAGTTTAGTTCTAACTACAACTAAGGCTCAAGTTCAATAAGTAAGACTATAGTCCTATAATATGACTCAGTCTTGAACCTACTTGTGTTAGAGCAGAACACTCAACATATTTGACAGCCTTCAGCTCTCTAGCCAGTCTCTCTCCATTGTCAGAAGAGATAGGCTTTTGCTTGTTTTTTGCCAATTTCTCCACTGTTGTAGCATCATCTCTTAAATCTATCTGAGTCCCAACTAAAAGAAATGGTGTTCTTTGACAATGATGTGTGATTTCTGGAACCCACTGCAAAGATTGAATTGACAAAGAAATCAACCACCAAAGTTAAATAACACTAACAAATTATGTTGAATAAATGAATGGTTACAGGCAACATAAACATATGTAAGTATCAAATGATTACAACTACATATTGAGTTACTTACCTTTTCTCTAACATTCTCAAAGGAAGAAGGGGATACAACTGAGAAACAAACTAAAAACACGTCAGTTTGAGGATAACTCAGTGGCCTTAGTCTGTCGTAATCTTCCTGTCCTGCTGTATCAAACAGACCCAGTGTGTAGGGCTCACCACCAATCATTACAGTTACTGCATAGTTGTCAAAGACCTGACAAATTTTAAAATATTTCACATACAACCCACTTGTTGACTAAGGTTTAACTTGAACTAATGGAACAGTACTCATTGGGCAAAGTTCATTCTCAAAATAAGAGGCACATATTGGAAATCAGAATCTCCACACACCGCTTGAGCCTTAAAATTTCCATAAAAAATAGCACTAAAGGAAACAGATTTTTTAAAATAGGCCTACTAATTACCCCACAACTCAGTCATATTGAAAGGAAGAATAATTACATTCATGTCATGGAAACTTAAAAAAAAAAAATAATGTTATACTTACAGTTGGAACATACTCAGATGGAAATTTATTAGTTGTGTAGGAAATAAGCAAACATGTTTTACCAACAGCTCCATCACCAACAACAACACATTTTATAGTCTGCATATTTTATGAGTTCCTCTTGAAAATCTGAACATTTGATAAAACAGTCAAGAATTAGAATTTGAACTAACCTACCAAAATTCAGCAGCCTTTAATTAGTGTCTGCACTAAGCTTAAACGTAGGCTGTTGCATCAAATTTTAAACCTCAGTGTTTACAAAGTAACTCAATAGCTTAGAAAATTTTTTTTAAATAAGTCTAATGACCTATATTAGTCCTTTTGCTTTTTATAGATGAACTAGGCATGCTGCCCAGCTTCGCTTAGGCTTTCAAAAACATTGAGAATTTGAATGCTTAATTAATTTGCCCGAGGGTCGGTCTACGACCTCAGGAGTTATGAAGAGGTTCCTACGTGGACAAATTTTTTTCGATTTATAGCTCATATAAGGCGCCGGTCAGTCGAGGTCTGTTTTGACCCCTCATCGTAGACCTTAAGGCCAACCGGCACCGGCCCCCGTGTTGTCGCCCCAAGGCAAGATCCTGCCAAATTTGAAGCGCCTGCGGCGCCGGGAAGTGCCCGATGTCGGGCACCCGACAACTTTGCTTCATACATTATAGAGATTAGCAAATTGCATAGATAAACAAAGATTTCCAAAGTAGTTTCTTTCTTTATAGTCTAAAATAGGAAGATTCACATATAAAAAAAAAATTAGGTTTGACTTGGTGTGTCTCGATCAAGCACCACCTGTGTGGTATCAAGTACACTATCATCTCAGCTAATTAGGTACCTTTAAAATATGGAGAATAAAAGAAGTGTTTAAAAAAAAATAACTTACGCGAATATGCCTATTTTTTCAAATTAATTTTTTTTACCCAAAATTAGCCAGTTTCATTGCTAAACAAACAAAGATTTCTATAAAATATTTAAGTCCTGAAAAAGTTTATTATAGACATTTATTTTTGGAATAGATTCTACAGTAGATAGAGTCTAAATGTAGATCTAGAATCTCTAGATCTAGAATCCAAATAGATAAAATAATTTTTTAAAGTTTAGGCCGAGAAAATCGTATTGTATACATTTTATAGCGTACATAGCTCTAAATCATATTTGAATGAAATAGTTCATTTCTTTTTATTCTAAACGCGGAAGATGACGTCATCAGTTTCGTGCTCCTTTTTTAGTGTAAACAATAAGCGACGTCATTGTTATATGCGTTCTTGTCCCAAGTTTAAACACTTTTCCGGTTGCATAAATAAAATTGTTTTTCTACATTCGAATACGCCTTTATTTTTTATTTTTCTTCTTTAAATAAAATTATGGTTATTACTTATACATTTAAAACATCTAACATATTATTTTCAACAAAAGTCCGTATAAAGTTCTCGATATATCTCTGTAGATTCTGATGTGATGTCCGGCGAAAATATTTTGCGGACAGACAGACAGAGAGAGAGAGAGAGAGAAGTGCGCACGGGGGTTTTATATATTAGGATATTACTATTAGTATGAAGGATCATTTTATTTATATAATACAGTATTTAACATGGTGACTAAAATAATTGGCCAAATGGCACCAATATGTACTCCCAATATGGGACATCATCGCTGAGCATTGAGAGCATGACAGCCAAATTAATTCTTAAGGCTGGACACCAGACTTGGGTCCATAGGATATCCCTGATTCTATCCAGTTCTAATAAGTACCTGACTCAACATTTGACACAAAAGGAAACTCTACCTTATCTGCCATACTGATCACCAGGTCCAAAATGGTGATTTTACTTACTTTTATACTTTACAATGTTTTTAAGTATTAGGCATTTGGTATTGGCTCACGGAAAACTACAAAATATGAAACAAAACAACAAAAATACTTTGAAAAAATGGAAGACACACATAGAGTCTAGTAGGCCCTACTTGAACTATGATTACAATATAGCTGATTTCACAATAATATAACCTTAAAAATATCAATATGGCAGCATTTCAGCACAAATGACCCACATTTAGAAATGTCAATAATGTTTATTTTAGGTTGATTTTTATCATCTGCATATGAAAAAAATCAAGGGTCCATGCAATAATGTTCATGTGATGTTGGGTAGACAACAAAGATCACACTAGCTAACAGTTAAAGGCAAATTTATAAATATTTTGTACAGGAAAATGGTCGCCTGCTAAAAATTACTCTAACAGGAAAATGATTACTTCATTCAAACTAAATTTTATACCATGATTTCAGGGTCTGCAAAAAAATATGAAAACGTCTTGCCTATGTTGATTATTCGAAGCTAGCACAGTGGTGTATATTTAAGCAGGTAAAAAGGCTCACGAGAAAGTCAAGACTAGTTTTGTGAGCCTAAAAACTAGACCACAGGAACTGCTGGACTAGATTAGGCTACACTTTTGCCTAGTACAAAACTCTAGATATTTGGGAAAGAAATAAGAAGATATGGTGCAAGGTGAGTTTGCCCTTTTCCGCAACTGGTCCTTCAACATCCTAGTATGTTATGTTTATTTGATAATGCATTTATGGGGTATGACGAGTCAACCCAATCAGAGCCGAATTCATTTGGATTACAATACAAGACGAGCAAGGATCAAACGAGGCTGATCAATTTTTAATAATAAATTTAACATAGCTTTGTTAGTTTTATGTCTGTTTTTCTATGCTTTTTAAAATTTTCAGGCATGATGTTAAATTTTTAAGGGCATGGGCGGGTGTACTTTTCGTCATAAATCCTCTAAATCACCAATTTCCCACTTTTACTTGATCTATACAGAATAACCATCGCTTAATCTAAAAATGACTTTGCTATGACCCTAAAAACATTTATTTATGAAAAGCCGGGTTCAAAGTAGTATGTACAGGGTCATTAGTTTACTTTTGGGTAAAAATAGACATTCTTCGACCTAGAAAAGTACCATTGGGCTTCGTGGAAGCCTAATGTGTTTCATATCAATGGAAAGGCTGTGACCTCCTTTCTTTATTTGTTCTAAAATTAAAGGACCAATCAAAATACCTATTTTAATGTGATTATTTTCCTATGTCATAAAGTTGTTTATTTTACTCAGTCGGGTTTTTCCGGTATGCACATTTTTTACCTAAATTTTTTCATTGGCATTCAACGGCGGAAGCTAGTTAGAGATAGGAATTCTCGTTTCAGAAGTAAACATTGCCTTAGTTTCAGCGCATGGCTAAGTTTGATCTAGTTTTGTTTCTCTAAGCTTCTGTGAAATACTTACATTATTTTAACATATAATTATTTCAATTAAATATACTATTAACAGTTAGATTAATTTTTGTGAATTATCATAAGCAGTGAGACGATTTAATTTGTTTCTCATTCGATAATGGGTACAACAAATCACTCGCTAAAAATAGATACACACATCTAACTAATTTACTAAAGTAAGGGCACGTCCGAATGCAACTGATTGCAGCTACCTCTACTCAGTCTAAAACTATTCAGACAAGCACTGGTGCAGATGTAATATGCACATTTATTAAGAAACTGCGGCAACGTAAGACACAGTTTTTACTGACAGAAGAAAGCAATGCTACATCTAGTACTGGTAGTGCTAATTGTAAACCACAGCCATGCAGAATTATTGTCGACTGTGATTTGCTTATTGATGTTATTAAAAATTGTTATCAATACATTTCCTTGCCTAGAGTGTAACTGTGATGTAGTGGCTACTATTGATGAAAAAAGTGTAAAGGGTTTGCTTCAAGCATGGTGTGGCAGTAATAAAAATGTTGTAAACCGTAAGTATACAACTGCAAAAGAATCCAGAACAAGGCCATTCACAATAAACAAAGACATCGTCTTATCATAATTGGGTTTAGACATGAGACCATGCAAAATATACTGTTGTTTCTGCGATAGCATTATTCAATTTTGGACCCATGCATGCTATGGCATTGCTGTCAAAAGAAGGAAACCATAGTCGAAGACTCAGTGAAGGACGCCAAAAAAGACACCTTGACAACAGCTGTACTATAGCTCTAGGTAAAACAAAGAGCGCCAGAAAAAAAAAGAAAACTAACAGCTGAACAAGCTCAGAAGGAATATATTCAGCAGCACCATACTTTGTCTATAAATATGGTCGATTTTAGTGACATACAGCGGTAAATTTTCATTTTTTGCAACTTTTTGTTGGTTTTTTGCGTTTTTCTCAGTTTGATGTTTTTTGTACCATTGTTGAAATAACTTTGTTAATAATTATCAGAACTAAACTAAATTTGCTCCAGTTACTCTGTATATATGTTCAAATAAAACTGATAGAACACTTTTAGAATTTTTAAAAACTTTTTTTTAATTGTTGAAATTAGCTAGGCCAATGCAAAAATTTAATTTCAGTAAAACAATATAAAAGTTACATATTTGGATAGGGGCTGTCAATCTGATTACAGATCAGTTTAAATTTTCAAAATCTGACCATAAACAAAAAAGTTATGAATTTTTTTGTCATTAAAAAATAGCAGTTTTTTCAGACAACCGGGGTAGACCCTGAAAGAGGAAAAATACTGGGAGGGTATGGACCAAATTTTAAAGAGTTTTCCACTAAAAGTGGTATTAAAGCAAGCAGACTTCATCAATTGATGTCATGTTATGATATTTTATAGATTTTTGTATGCCGAATCCAATGATGCTATTTTAAAAAGTGTCCTTCGATTACATAATCGACTAATCTCATAGATTATGTAATACCCCCCTTTCAATTTTTTTAAACCATCTAATAATCAATGTGATAAGAAGTCATTGTTTAAATGTAACACTGTTTTAATCTATAATATGACATTTATATATGCTGAAGCTAATGGTAGTATTTAAAATGGTCCAACATTGTTACATAACTATCAAATGTTAAGGTTATGTAATACCACCCTTTGCTCAAAATATACCATTAATTAGTTTTGAAATCACTTTTGCTCATTGTCAGTTAACTTCAAGTTAATAGCCTACTAAAAGAAAATATAACTAATCAAGTTTTACAATACAAAGGGAAGAATGCTATTACAATAGTAAATTTGTGATTATGTAACTTCTTAAAAGATGTTATGTAATCTATGTCCAATACTT